TTCGGATTCAGAGTGGGCGTTTTGAAAATGGAAAATGAAAATTACGTGAGATCTTATGAATGCTCGGCGTAGCCAAACAAAATGTGTTTACATTTAAATTTTCAAATTTATTGCCCTCGTACATATTCAAAGCACACACATATGTATATATATTTAATTATATGTACGTTTAGATATAGACTTTAAAGTATAGAATGCGCCTGGAGCGTTCAAGTAAACCGATTTTCAATTGCATCGGTGGAAAGCTTGAAATTATCAGGTGTCAAGTGAAATATTGCAGGGGAAATTGGAAATGTTTATACTTATAGGTATAGTTAAAAGGAATACAGTTCGGAATGTTTTGAAAACATACCGGAAATTTTTAAGTTCAAAGGATCATCATAAATGATATTTAAATTATTTAGAAAACTGTTTGAACATTTTTTAGGCTTTTTGTTTTGAAATCTTGGGCTCAAATCTTGAAAAATTCTTCCCATTTAAACATACTTTTTATACGTTGAAAATGCTGCTTAAAATGCCAATTTGAAAAATAGTCAAGTTATGGAACCAGTTAACCTTCCATACTAACCTTTATCCTTTGGCCACAGTGCTTTTTCCAGTTTTCTTTTCTCCTAAGCCAACAACAAAAACACAAACACCATGGACGCCATCAAGAAGAAGATGCAAGCGATGAAGCTTGAGAAGGATAACGCCATCGACAAGGCCGACACCTGCGAGAACCAAGCCAAGGATGCCAACTCCCGCGCCGACAAACTGAACGAGGAGGTGCGCGATCTGGAGAAGAAGTTCGTCCAGGTGGAGATCGATCTGGTCACCGCCAAGGAGCAGCTGGAGAAGGCCAACACCGAGCTGGAGGAGAAGGAGAAGCTCCTGACCTCCACCGAGTCCGAGGTGGCCACCCAGAACCGTAAGGTGCAACAGATTGAGGAGGATCTGGAGAAGTCCGAGGAGCGCTCGACCACCGCCCAACAGAAGCTGCTGGAGGCCACCCAGTCGGCCGATGAGAACAACCGTATGTGCAAGGTGCTGGAGAACCGCTCGCAGCAGGATGAGGAGCGCATGGACCAGCTGACCAACCAGCTGAAGGAGGCCCGCATGCTCGCCGAGGATGCCGACACCAAGTCCGACGAGGTATCCCGCAAGCTGGCCTTCGTTGAAGACGAGCTGGAGGTGGCCGAGGATCGTGTCCGCTCCGGCGAGTCCAAGATCATGGAGCTGGAGGAGGAGCTGAAGGTGGGTTATGCTTGTAATTGGGAGATTCCATGATTTATTTTCCGAAATATTATCATGGTTCTTGAAAAATATAAATTCCTTAATGATCACTGAAAAAATTATATATCTCAGAAATGACGAAAAGGAACAAACCATTTTCTTCGGGTAAATAAGGTTGGCTATGAAATGGTCAATCTTAAATAGTTGAGTTTATTTTATGTTTAGCATATTTTGCATATATTGCATATATTTTGCATATTTTATGCATATGCATTTTATGCAAATAAAATATGGCATTAATTTTAAACTATACTTTTATTGAAACGAACTTTGGTGTTTTCGGAATTGATCTATCTTTATCCTATAAAAATATGCAAATATGAAAAATCCGAGGTCTAATGAATTAATTAATCAATTATCAAAGAAACCCTTATTTTATTAGTTTCCCCTCTTGATAAAAATTTCTTTTATATTCCCTTAGGTTGTCGGCAACTCCCTGAAGTCCCTGGAGGTCTCTGAGGAGAAGGCCAACCAGCGCGTGGAGGAGTTCAAGCGCGAGATGAAGACCCTCTCCATCAAGTTGAAGGAGGCCGAGCAGCGCGCCGAGCACGCCGAGAAGCAAGTGAAGCGCCTGCAGAAGGAGGTCGACAGGCTAGAGGGTATGTACCGCATTCCCCACCCCTCGAGAACACCCATTCAGCCATCTCCCGAGGAGGCATCTCTCCACGAGACGCCGGAGTTGATGATCCGCCGGATTGTTGGCTTCAACTAATGCTCGCATTGTATTTATCGCCATAAGGATATTAATACTTTTACTACTCTGGTACTCTGCTTTCATTAATTGACGTTCTACATCCACCCATTTTGCTCTCGCCCTCTTTTGATTATCTCCATCTCTATATATTTGTATAAATGAACAACAACAACAAATGCTTTTTGCAGACCGTCTCTTCAATGAGAAGGAAAAGTACAAAGCAATCTGCGACGATTTGGACCAGACATTTGCCGAACTTACTGGATATTAAAAAAAGATCGAAACAGAACTCACACAGAGCCCTCCCCAAAGACAAAAACAAAAAGAAAAGACAACACACTTTCAGAACTCCCCCGAAATCCCCCACAGTTTACTATATATATTTTGCTGTATTTATTTTTCGAAAGATCCCCCGACAGTTTCAGTGTATCTACCACCCACCCAAAGCACACTTCTGTCACCACCTTCTCTATACACTGTAAATAATCTGTTTAGTCCCGCTTGAATGTGGCCACTCCCACACACAGCCAGTTCCCTACGCCCGTACACTGTAAAAATAAGTTCAGATCAAGCCAAACCAAGTTGCAACTGTAGTTAATACAGGTGAATTTATCAATGTAAATATTGTTGTTAATTGTATGCCAGATTCTTACCCGTTTTGATGTGGCATGACCTCTTGACCCGTCTCGCCTGCCCAGAATCTCAGCACTCCGATCAGCACTATATCTCAATCTGTGTCTCTCTATCTCTTCTCTCGACGATCATCAGTACAGTCCCGTCCCGAGTCATTCAGTGGTTTTCGAGCTGATTTCGCCAGGCCTTGGTTGAGTGAATCTCTCATTTCCGCACAAGCCAAGGATTTCTGCAACGATTGGTTGGATAGATCATGGCTAGATCCCGTAGAGCACCCCTTAGATAATCCCCAAGAGCCCCACGCACAGACCCGCTGACTAACCCATAAAATAGAAACGCTTGCCAGAACAGCGTGCCACTAATTGAAACCAAAAGACCCTATAAACTATAAGTTTAGAGAATCTTTTCTCCGTCAAATTCGCACAGTGTAAAGTTTAAGTGTTCTGTGTTCGATTCAAATGTTGCTGTGTGCTTAACAAGAGTCTTGAGCATTTTCTAACATTTTTTGTATTAACATAATTTCCACAGACGAGTTGGGCATCAACAAGGACAGGTACAAGTCCCTGGCCGACGAGATGGACTCCACATTCGCCGAGTTGGCTGGCTACTAAGGTGGCCAATAGACCCAAAAACCAAATCCAAAACAACATCGAGCAGCAGCGGAGGAAGATGGAGACGACGAGGAACTCTACTAATTGTAAACGAATATCTCAGATTGATTTTGCTAGCGACAAGAACTGCAGCCTCACGATACCAAGAACAACATCCATTGTGTATACAATTCTTTATAAATCTATATATTTCATAATAAATAAATAACAACAACAACCAGATCAACAACAGCAACCAACAACAAGCATAGATTGTGTAGAACCAAGGATAACAGCGAATGGAAATTCTTTTATTTTATAAAAAATAAAATTATCTAAAAGTAAAAAGTAGCAGAATGTAAAAAACCAAACACGAATTTTGTATTTTTAAAGCCAATGTTTAAAAATATTAAGAAGTCAGGAAGTAAGAGAGAGACGAGCAGAGAGAGAGAGACAGAATTTAAGAAAGAAGCCTGCTTCAATTTGAATTTATATCTTACAATTACACAACCAACAAAAAACACCCACAAAAAAAGTATAAAAAAATTTATAAAAAACTTTGCTAAAAAAATTATATGTTTGATGTTTGCTTTTAATGATGCATAAAACTGATTTTCTTTGCCCGTCAGCGAGCTCCGCTGAAATTGATCAGAAATTTTCGGGTTTCAGGCGGACTTGGCGGTTATGCAAAGTCGGTTTCGGTTTTTTCAATGATTTCTTGCATTTTTGGGAAACCCCATGGATGCTGAGCCGAAATACCCGAGTTCCAAGTGCGTCATCATCACTTCATCGACGATGGATCACGATCCGCGAATCGAGGCCTTCGTTGCAACATCGTTAGCATCCGCTAATTGTCAAAGCAATGAATAATGAAAGTTCAAAGATATTTGTATATTCGTATTCACTTATATCTTCAGGGTGAATTCGAGAGATCTCCAGTAGATGTGGGCAGTTGGCCGTTTGACCATCAATAATCCAGTTAAGGCCGGGTTCGGCATGGGGTCTGCTCTCTCGGCCAAATGGATTCACCCGGCGTGAGGCCTTTCTTATAAATTAAACTTTAATTCCACCATCTGCCCACCGGCTCTTTCTTTCTCTCCGCCCTCTCGCGACGCGGTGCCATAAAATAGTTATTAAAACTTTAAGTGGAGTGTTAAATTGCCCACTAAAAAGCTGCAGTCATTATTTACATAATTTACATTATGGTACGAGTGCTGGCAGATATGTTTATCTTACGAGAGTGGGGCATAAACTGGAAAAGAAAGAGCCACTTGAAGTATAGTATGGTATTAGTTTAGCTTAGTTATTGCTACGTTTTAAAAGACAGGAAAATTTAACATTTAATTCATATTTTTATTAAATATTCAAATTTGAATGGAAATATATAATAATAGAATAATAGGATTATCTTCTTTTTTTTAAGAGTGAAGAGCTGTGAAGAAGGTTGCTTTTCTTAGTACGAAGAATTCATTAATTGTCTCCCAAAAAAGTAGAGAATATCCAAATTGACTTGGCATACCTAACTCCAATTCTCGAGACCATTTGTTTTCGCTTCAATTGACGGCCCCATAAGCCCCATCAATTACCTAAGTCTGGGGCCAATTTGATGGAGTGCAAACAGTGGGTCGGGCCACAAAAGCTGCGAGAGAAACACCAGTGATACCGATGAAAAGCCCAATGACTTACATTTGCCCAGAGCCAAGCGAAGGAGAAAGTGAAATTTTGCATTTCTCGGCGGCCGGCAGCAGCAACAACAACAATGGGTCCGATCTGGTCTGGTCTGGGCCATTGCCATTGGCAGTGAGCGGTACAGAGAGACCGGAGACCGCAGATCGGACCGGCTGTAGGCTCAAAGTCAAGCTCAGCCGTCTTCAGTCGTGGTTTTCAGCTCGACGCAAGCGAACGGACGTCTGGGAAACGCGGACGCGGCTTTAACCGCACGGAAAACGCAACGAAATCGAAAGTGTGTGCTTAGCGCGCGACTTGAATCGCCAAGTGATTCGTGGGGCGGGGGCAATACTCCCATCTATCCATCCGTCAACATTACGTGTCATCATGCCGCCGGCTGGCCAACAACTCCGGCTTGCAGCCCTTGTTTACCTGACACTCGGCCTGGGACTCTTATGCAATGCCAGCGATGGTGAAACTAGCCAAAAATATGCCAATGAATCACTCGCGGACGCAGAGGCTCCAGTTTGGTCGCAGTTTCTCGAAGACTACGTCTTGAGGTGGGTTCAAGGAGAGCTGGGAAATGTTCAAAACTAATTCCTCCCCCGCATTTTTGTAGCCAAAGCAGTAGCAGCAGCACAAGCCAGCGAAAGTCCAAAGACCTGCCCTATATGGGTGGGGATATGGGCATGAATGGGCCGCTCAACTATCACTCATCCGCCTACAAGCGACCCGGCAACAATATCTACATCACCAGGAGGATTGGCGAGGCGGTGGAGCTGGAGCCCCATCTGCGAAAGCCCGTAGAGAGCCAGAGTCCCATTGTGAATCCCCAATTCCGACCCATGACCAATCAGATGTTGCACCAGCAACATCAGCAGATGCAACAGCAGCAACAGCAGTTGCAGCAACGCCAGCAACCGGGTTTCTTGCAGCAACTTTTCGGCATAGGTGGCAGTAGCGGAGGAGGCGGAGGTGGTAATCCTTCCCAGCAGCATGTGCGTCCTGTGTCGCTGCAGCAACAGCAGCAAGTGCAACAGGCACCGCAGCAACACCCGCAACAGCAGCCAACCACTTTCCGAGCTGTTTCCGAAAACGACCTTTATCTGCTGGGAGCCATTGAGAAGTTGGTTTACAGAGTGGGTGAGTTGTAAATCAGAAAACGTTGAATATCAGAAAAATAATAGCCAGGGATCGTTATTCTTATGATTTTTTAAATAAAAATTATAAAATAATAACTATTTTTCAATTTTTATAATAAAAATTGCAGAATAAGTATTTTTCCAATTTGTATAATAAAAATTGAAATTAAGTCTTGTTTTCCAATTTGTATTATAAAAATTGAAAATAAGTCTTATTCTCAAACTTTTATTATATAAATTGAAATCAAGTCTTATTCTCCAATTTGTATTATAAAAATTGAAAATAAGTCTTATTCTCCCACTTTTAATATATAAATTCAAAATAAGTCTTTTTCTCAATTATTATTAATAACAATAAATAAACCCCTTCAGATTACTTAGAAAGTCGCGTGCGGCGTTCGGAGCAGCTGATCTACTACCTCATGGCCGGAAACAACCAGAAGGAGGTGAAGGATCCCTGTCCCAGCAACTTCACCCGCATCAGCGACAACTGCTACTACATCAACAGTCAGCAGCAGGTGAACTGGAAGACGGCCAACTCAGCCTGCAAGGGTCTAAACTCGCACCTGGCCGAGTTCGAAAAGGTCTCTGAAAACGAGGAGATCATGGCCTATCTGCTGAATCAACCCGCCCACAGGGGTCGCGACTACTGGCTGGGCGGTCTCAATCCAGGACTTCTGTGGATCTGGTCCAACTCGGCCAAGCCAGTGAATCCCAACATGAATCTCACGTCCATTGCCATGACCCAGAAGGGTGAGAACTCGACGGCCGCCAATCTGGTGGACAGTTCCGAGCAGGCGGCGGCGGAGGAGGCGGCCGGCGAGGATGTGCTGAACAACACGGTGCAGATCGAGGGCAAGGGTCGCTGCCTGCGGCTGAGCTACAATGCCGGGAAGCACAGCTATGTGTACTACGGTCAGGAGTGCACCTCGCGACACTACTACATCTGCGAGCATGAGGACAAGACGCTGGACAACAAGATCAAGAAGATCACCCGCCAGCTAAAGCTCTTCGATTGAGGATCCGATCCTCATGTGATATGTACTTGCAGCTACCTAGCCATATCTATCGCTTAATTGCAAATGAATTTATTCTTGTGTTACACATTAAATATTTATAAATATTTATACAATTAATAAACATATCTGATAGTGTTTAGAACGTTTTAAGGATACTTTGTTCTTGCACAGCAAAGCTTTAAAAGAAAATCAACAGAGAAGGTAAACAGAACTGGGTTCCGTTGCTCAAAAGCGGAAAGTATCTACACAGAGATCGGGACTAGTCCGGATAGAGGTAGTCCTGCAGGATGTTCTGGAAGGCTATCTTGATCTTGCCGCGATCGCGCCCGTTTAGCTTCTGTATGTCGGGCAGCAGGCTCATCAGAAACATGGCATCCGGATCGGTCTTGCAGTCGCACAGCTCCACGCCGCCTCCATTCGATACGGATGCAGTTGGCGGGTTGCTGGCCTCCAGGCGCAGAGGAAGCGATGAAGGCGGCACTTGTTGATGTCCTCCATGGCCATGGTTGTGCCCGTTGTGCCGCTGACTCAGGTAGCTGTTGCTACTGCTGCTGGGTGCAATTGGCGTGGCCAATGCCGCTGTGGATGGTTCTGCTTCTGAGGGGTTAGCAATTCCTGGATTTCCTCCGCTGTGAGTGGTGGTGCTGACCAGATCGACAGGCTTGCTGAACGTGGGACGCACAAGGGAAATGTTCGGGTGGGCAGCCGGCTGCGAGGCGAAGTTTACCCCCGAAACAGCTGCAGTGGGAGCCTGGAGTTCTTGGGAGCGCGGACGTATTGCTCCCCGCATCTCGTCGTGGTAGGCACGCAACTGCAAGCGTCCCAAATGCATGCGGCTGGTGTGCGGCTGCTGGTTGGCATAACTACGCTGGGCCGACGAAGAACTGGACGACGTGGGCGCCATCTTGTGCGGATCCTGGTCCTCCTGCTCATCGTCGTCCGGCTCGTGGGCCTCCTGCTCGTAGTCATCGGCCGGCTCCTCGCACTCCGACTTGATGTCGTTGCTGTCCAACTGGCTGTGATACCTGCTGTTGCGCTGCTGCTCCTCCTCCATGATGTCCTCCAGCTCGGAGTTGTTGTGCTCCGCCTCGTCGAAGTAGTCCAGGTAGTTGTCCAGCTGCTGAGCCGCCGGCGGCGGCGACTGGTGGGCCGAGGCAGTGGGCTGGCCACCGCTGCTGGCCGGGATGGCCACCGATCGCTCCCGCTGCATGCGACTGGACAGGCTGGAGAGGTGCGCCAGGGCATCCTGCACCTGGGTGTCCAGCGACTTGGACTGCTGGTGCTTCTTGCGCAGATAGGGATGCAGGAAGAACATGCGGTCGAAGTAGGACCAGCAGGGCGGCACCTTCTCCTCCAGATAGTTGGTGTACTCGCGCCGGAACGAGATGCGCAGATTGGTCCACTTGGCCAGGCTGGCGCCCGGATTCTTCTCCAGCTTGAGGTCCACCTCGCGCCAGAAGTTCTCCACGTACGGCCGGCAGAAGTAGTACTTGTGGCGCGGATTGTAGATGGCCTCGTCGCGCTGGACAATGTCGATCAGCTTGAAGACCTCCTCCGTCAGCCAGCGGGACGCACTGCAGCTGGCATTCGGATTGCTGGACACGAACTGGCTGCCCCCGAACTCGGTCGTCATCATGGGCTGGCTGTGCTGGCTGTGTGGGGATCCAATGGTCCAATAGATACACTTTCAGACGACTTTTCCAGCGTTCGCCATGACTTTTGCGAAATATTTTTATTGTTTTTCCCAAGTGTTCTTTTAAGTGCTGTCGCTGGTTCCGCGGCGAACCAAACAGGCGGCGAAACTGGTTCCGAAGCGCAGAAGCTTTCGCGAACTACTCTGTTTATGCGTAGTTACATATTAATGAAAACTTAGGACAAAGACCTAAATATGTTAATTAAATAATAAGTGTTTTTTAGTGCTGGTTTAGTAGGTAAATTAGGGACACTTCAAACAGTAAACGCTCATTATCTATAGAAATTTTTAGTATTCTTATTTCTAGTCTGCAATGGTCTATTTCATAAGTCGGAATTTCCCTGCCCTTTAAAAAAGCGTGCGTCGTTAAAAGACACGCAAAGGGCTAACAAAAAGATACAAACGCGTGTATAGCCAAACAACTGGAAACAAATTTTCCACTACTAAGCTCCATTCAAAGAATAGTATAGTGTTTGCCCAATTGTTTCTTTTCTTCAGATTTGGTACGCAAATATAACTCAAGCAATTGTGTCAATATTTGATAATCCAAAAATGGAAAGTATAAAATGGAGAAATTCTGTCCCAAAACTATCACTGTTGAAACAGAGTAATCAAGATGAAGTTCTTCGCTATCCTTGTCCTTCTGTGCGGTATCGTAGGATTTGCTGCCGCCTCCGCTTCTACGACGACGACGGAAGCTTCTTATGACACCACTAGCGCTCCCAGTGCCCCAGTTCCAGCTCCAGCTCCTCCATGCGGAAGTGGTCCCAAACCTGAAGGACCCTGCGGCCAAGCTCCCCCAGTGAATCCCTGTGGACCCAACGCACCTTGTGGCAAAAAACTGTACTTCTTCTATTAAATAAGATTTAAACATTTCTTCGACAACCAATAAAATATGGCTAAAATATATTTATGTTTTCCCATAAGGATAATGTATTATTTAAAAAAGGACCTTAAATATTTGGTATATTTTGTCCATGGTTCGAGTGCGTGCTATGTAATGGTATATTTTGAGGACATATTTTTATTTGCCTGCGGTCACACTAAAACCGATATATCGATACATCGTGAGTGGAGGAATTTTTGAAGACGTTGTTTGTTTGATTTTACGCTCAAACTAAGTTTTTTTTTGTACTGCGTAAATGCTGCCCTTTATCCGAATATATTCAAGACATCGATAGAGCAGATGGCTCTGCAGGTGACAGTAAATGGAAAGTTCGGGGCCAACTTGAGGCGGCCCGTCAGCCGACTGGACGATCCCGAGCGGGTGCGCAAAGACCTCGAGAGTCAGCGTCGCATAACCCGTTTGCAGCAGGTAAGCCCTTCGGTTCGGAGCCCATTGCGCAGTAATTACCGGACTTATCGTGACCCGATTTTCCATCCAGGTGCGTGAGAAGTCCAACCACCTGGCTCGCCACATACGCGAGGAGGTGGCGGCCGAGAAAAAGCGTCAAATCGACAAACTGGAGCAGGTCAAGCAAAAGGAGCTAAATGCGTGGCGTGAGCATGTTTTGGTCAAAAAGCACCAGGACTACCGCTCGGCCATTTTCCAAGTGGGCGCCGCCCACCGTGCCGCAAGGGAGGAAAACGAGCGCATCGAGCAGCAGAAGCAGGAGAGAATCGAGAAAATCCAAAGGTGCCGCAAGCAGGCCTTGAAAAGATCAGGAAAAGCCAGTGTGGAGTTGAGAGCCACAAACGGAATGAATCTGAATGCGGAGGGACGTGCGACGGCGGGCACACAGACGCCCGTGGTGGAGGACAAGGAGAACCGGTTGGCCAGTGGCTGTCACAAGCCGTGCTGCAAGGGAAAACGCAAAAGGACAGCCAGCTGCAGTTGTGCCGCCACCGAGGAGGAAGGGGAGGAATCCTCCGAAGACGACTCTTCCATCCTAATCAGCGACAGCCCCACCAGCAACCGGCGTCTGCAGAAGACTCCGCCCGTAATACTGGACGTGGAAATAGAAGAAACCATTTCCGAGACCCACAAAAACCCTGAGGGTTTAGATATCAACGATCGGCACATTCAAACCAACCGCAAATTCAGCCATGTGGTGAGACCCAGTGAGGATGAAGTCCAGCGACGGCCGAGGTTCACCCAGATCAGCGATCTGGTGAGGAGAACCGAGACCACTACTACTATACGAACTGATCCAGGGCAGCAAGGGGAAGCAGTATCTGCTCCGCCAAGTCCCACGAAATCCCTACCAAGATCGCCCAGGAAAACTTTAGAGCGTGAGGAAGCAGTTCCCGCTGCAGCGCCCAGAAAATCACCGACCAGGGCGGCTACAGGATCGCCCAAGAAAACGTTGACAACATCACGTAATCAGAATACAGCCAAGCGAACGGTCTTGAAATCGAATCCAGCTCCTGCCAAGGTTATAGATGCGGGAATTCGAAAGGGTCAGAAGCCTCAGAAGGCCCCAGCCACTCTGCCCAAAGTCACAGCCATACAGGAGCCTCCGCGAAACCTACAACCCATTCCGGAGCAAAACATGCCAGCTATGCCAAATCCCACGATGACCCATTGTTATCCCGTGCCGCAAGTTCAACCATATATGCACCCATATGCCCAACAGCCGATGCAACCATATGCGATGCCATATTCAATGCCATTTCCCATGCAACCGCAGTATCCACAGCATCAGCCGGTGTATGCGCCGCAGCAAATGATGCCGCAGCAGCCAGTGGTTCATGTTCCAGCTGTAACTGCTCCACCAAGCACGGCCACGCAATCGACCGTCTCCACCACCACTTTTGTCATGTCGACGCGGGGCGATCCGAAGACCACTCAATCCGGACGCGTTCAGTTCTACGATCATGGCAATAAATACCATCGAACGTACGATGCTCCAACGCAAACAGTGCAGTGCAATGAGAAGGATGCCGGCCAACTGACTGCAATGGATCATGCTCGCATCGAGAACCAACTGAGGGAACTGCGGGAACAAGAACTGGACAAACTCAGGTGAGAACTTGATTTAAAGCAAGATTCGGAAAATAACACTCACTGTAAATAACTAAAAAATCACTTAAATCATTTAAGTTAAATGTCAAAAACTCATTGTGTTAAAAACGCGCTGTGTAAAAAAAACGCTGTGTAAAAAACACGTCGTGTAAATAACACAAATGACATGTGTCTGTTATTTATGTATCTAACATATGTAGGCTACAATTTTTAACACACATGTGAAATAAAAGTTTTCAAGTTTTTAACATGTGTGTCAAATTCCGAACTTCTAATAGTTGGATGTTTTTAATTCTAACATATCTTCATTCAAATAGAAAAATCAGCAACGATCGTGGTCAGAAGGCTCTGGAACGCGAGCAAGTGCGTCGGGATTGTGCGGAATTGACCGAGAAACTGGATGCCCTCACCCAACAGCAACCACAGCTTTTGCCCAGCGATGTAAGAGATGCCTTTAAGACTACTTTCTTTCACTAATACAATTTTATTTCCCATTAGGCCAACATTATACCGAGCCATCGGTTCGCGGATCAGGCTGCGAGGCGGGAGCAGAAAATGAACGAGGCCATGGAGCAGATGCTGCTGCGACCGGCCATAATCACCTGCCCAGAGGTGCGCTCTAAACCCACTCCTCCAAACACGTCGCGTAGCAAATTGAACAATCCGGCGGCACTCAATGTGGGCGAACCGCCTATTCAAATGGGTCGCGATAATCTCGGCAGCACAGAGAGCTGCTGCTCCATCCTCCTCGACTATGTGGATGATCAGAGCAAGCAGCTGAGGTCCGACTTGAAGGCCGAACAGTCCAACTCCCTGAAATCCATGAGGTTGCGGAGTTTGCTTGAGCGTATCGAAAAGATCCGCGTTCAGTTGCTGGAGGAGCTGAAGGCGGGCGAGGCAGTCGGATCGAGGAGTGACAACGCACAGGAGATGATCGATAATATACGGCAGGAGCGAGCGGATATTCTATCCGAGAGAACCAAGACGCTGAACGAACGAGAGTCTGATCTGCAGCAAAAGGAGGCTATTCTGGAGCAGCGTCTAAGGAAGTTCTACAAAGAGACAAAAAGTAAAAAATCCAGTGAAGGGGATCAGGCAAAACCATCCTCAAGAGATGACGGTCCACTGGAGATCATCATCAAAGTAAAGAGCGACGGCACGGTAAAGCAATATGTACCGAGAGGTAAATCGAAAGTAAAAGCCAAACCGGCAACCATCGATAATGAAAAGGAAGTACCACTGGAAGCAGAACCAGAAAAGCAGCCAGAAAGGGAAAACGGAAAGCAAACCCTGTCACAGGATCACCGACAGATATCCATAGATTCTAACTCCACCGCCTATCGCAGTCTGCCGCCGGTGAGCTACAAGAGTTTCAATCCGGGCATGGGTTCCATGCCTTCTCCGCCGGCTCCTCCTCCTGCATCGGCACCACTGCATCCCATGGTTGTCCAATATATAAATCGCCTGCTCGGAATGACCCGTCACAGCATAGATGAAATGGGTGTTAGCTCCTCGTATGTGGCCACACCCACGACATCAATAATCAACTCATCGAGAAACATGACGCCTTGCGTCGAGGCTGAAACGGGGAGAACTGAGGCAACTCCGGATGATGCGACTGCGATGCATGAGCAGCGCATGGAACGGGTGCAGACCTTCATTGACGACAATCGCAGCTTTATCAATGAGTTGGAAGACTCGATTCGTTGCCAGCAGCAAATGCAAAAGGAGCAGAAATCCCAGGACAAGGAGAAGAGTATACGGGCATTTGATCAGTTATGGAACAAGCGATTGGCCAAGAATCTAGAAGAATGTCAGCCAAGCACCAAGGACAAAGAGCAGATAAGGGAAATGATGCAGGGGGAAAGAGTAGCTTCCCAGGGAGAGAAAGTTAGGCAGCAGCGAACAAACGACAAAGTGCAACAGCAAAGAGATCAAAAGGGCAAGAAACAGAGTCCTGGCGGAATATCTCTAAGCCTCCCAACCGATGTCGCCAAGAGTACGCCTCGCTTTGCAGCCGATAAGTCGAAATCGCAGACTGCCAGTGAAGAGTCCTCTGCCCGGAATATGGAGCGTTATGCGCAGCTCACGGAGAATTGCACGCAGCGAATTGCAGAGCTCACGGATCTGATTACCAAGGTGCGCGAGGAGAAGCAGCGACTGGTGGAAGTCACTCTCACTTCGAACAGTGATGGTGAGCGCCAGTCGACGGAGTACTTTGACCTCCCGAATGGACAACGACAAGCCAGATGCCGGACTTTGTCCGATCGCAGTGATTCCCAAACGCCCTCCACATCGGAGGCGTTGCCTCTACAGAAGAATAAACCAACGGCAGCCAGCAGGGATAGTGGCATAGCGGACTCGCGTCCCATTACCGCCCAGGGACAGGTTAACGTAGATGCGGAACCCATCTCGCTGAATTCCTCGACGCAAGGCAATACGGCTCGCGGGCGAATGAAGGCTCCGCCGGCCACAATTCGGCGCTACAGTCCTCAACTGAATGCCGAGGATCTGGCGCACGAGCTGTCCACGATTACGGAAGTGGAAACGCCGGGACAATCGCACATAGTTGCCGCTACTCCAGTGCCCAAGCCGTTTCCCAGCTTCGATGAGTACGCCAGGGAACTGCAGCTGGATTTGGCCCGCTTGGATGCGGATCAGAGCCAGCGCCTGCAGAGCGAATTCAATGAATTGGTCCACGTTATCAATCAGCGCACCGAAGGAGCTGACTACCGTGAGTTTCCTAGCATAAATGCCTATCTCCATAACATGACCAGCACCCGTATCCACCTGGAGATAGGTCAGGACGCCACTCTGTCGCCGGGAGAACTGATGCGACAACTGCGTGTGGTCGATGAGAATATACAGGACTTCCCCAAACGGCGGGAGTACCTGCAGAAACTGCTGGCCCGGCAACCCGCCGATCAGAGGGAACTGATTGACAGTGCCAGTCTCGAACAGGATTCTTCGGATTCCTTTAACGTAGAAGAAGAACTGCGCAAGCGAAATATCCTGAAAAACTCATTTCGACGTGGTAATGCGACGGATCAGGAAGTGGCCAGCAGCACGCGGCGGGAAAGCGTCGCCCCGGCGAGAAACGATCCACCCAACGAGAGTGGCATTGATCCGCTGTCGGGCAGCAACTTTTCCAGCGACGCGGAGCAGCGAGCACAGTGCTGGCATGCCACAATGCATCAGAGGCAACAGCAGGCGGATGAGTTGTGCAGCAGCACCACCACCTCCTCGCCGGAACGGCCTCCACGGAAGTCGAGGCTGCGTGGAGGTCAGGATCGGAGTTACAGGTCCAAGGATGACTCTACTACGGTGCAGGATGCAAGTCAGATAGGAAGATCCCTCAACCTAAGGGAATTCCTCACTCGGGAGCTCCTGAAGCATCGGGTGCACAACGGCGACACTTCGGAGTCATCAGATGAGTCCTTGAGGGGACACTTCCTCAAGTCAGTTCTACACTCACTCTCGCCCAGCAGCATTACGCAAACTCCGGGCGTGGGCCAAAGCCATGCCACCGGAGCCACCAACGACAGGCAAAAGACGTCCACGCCAGTGGGATCATTCCTCTCCATTCCAGAGAAATCCGGGTCCGTTAACAGCACTGGCACTCAACTATTCTCCGGGGAGAGTCACATCTCCCTGGTGAACTATCCAGATGGAACGCCACCCATTCCTTATGAACAAAAAAGTAAACAGAGTACAAACCAAACTCGCCAATCCTCAGTAAAGACATCCCATCGAAAGTCACCTCGAAAATGATCGCACAGCTTTGCTCAATTCGTTTGCTTAGGTTTTAAATTGTATTATCGATTTTTATGACAATTATTTATATTTTAATAAACTTTTTGCAATTATGTATCCAAAAAATGACCATCGAAAACGATTTAAATTTTATCACCAATTTGTATGAAAATTATTTATATTTTAATAAACTCGTAAAATATTTATTCAATATCTATCTAGAGTTTCAAGTACAATGGTTCAGTGTAATCACATGCAATAATGTACAGAATATATATACAGTATATATTGGATGAACTAACTAATGAGTGTTTAAGTGTTCAGTTCTAGTCGGTAACCAGAAAGTAAGTATCTTCTTTGTCATGTTCTAAGTTGGAGTACTTTTCACTGGCGGTCTACAATAAAGTTTTCATACAAATTCAACATTGAAATCCCGTGGGGGAGATTACATCTAAGTACAATACGTATAAGGCAGCACATCTAGACTTTTCGTTTACAAACTTAACTAGACTAAGTACATGAACCATTGATGAACCATTGTTGTGTAAAGGAAATTCATTTTGGTACGGCTATCGTTTTGGACAATGCTCCGTTTCGCTCCGTTTCCGGAGCCCAATAGTTGCAACCTTGAGCCATTTATAAGCACCAGATTTGGGTAAATGCGATTAGGTCACAGCTTCTCATTCCTGCCCTTCCTCCTCCTCGCGATCTCGCTCCTCGTCGCGCTCCCTCTGCCTCCTCTTGTGACTGTCACTGGCCGTCTTTTTCAGGGCATCCGCCTCGCCGCCCGTGGCCTCCACCATTTGCCGGAGATGTCCTTGAGACTTCTTGAGCAACAGATGTGGAACATCGAACTCCACTGCCACGCCGGCATCCATCACTATAATCCGATCCGAATCCATAACAGTGTGCAGACGGTGGGCCACAGTGACTACAGTGCAGTGCTTGAACTTGATGCGGATAGTGCGCTGGATCAGGGCATCGGTTCTGAAAGATGAAATATGAACGCTTAGATCTCGGAAACTACAAAAGCGAGAAAGTTGAGATTTCCCACACATATTCTTGGGCTTCCTACGCAGCGAAAGTTTATTTGAGCCGAGCGCCTCGCCCCCTTTAACGCCCACAATCGCCCACTAACAATTTTAAAATGTGTCTGGTGCCCACACCGTTAAAGATTTCCGAGAAGTATAAATGCAATTTTGTTGTGCATATTTATACCTATCGTAATGTAGAAGACATTTTTCAAATCGGACCATTCATTCAAAAGTTATGCGCAATCAAAAAAATGTGTATATCTACCTCCCTCGCACTCCCTATAGTAAAGAATAGTAGTAGGAATAGTAAACCCCTAAAATACTCACTGCGGATCCACATTGGCAGTGGCCTCGTCAAGCACCAGAACCTTGTTGTTCCTGAGAATCGCTCTCGCCAGGCAGAGCAACTGCCGCTGGCCCACGCTGAAATTGCTGCCCCGCTCCGTGACCATGTAGTCCAGGCCGGGAATGGAACTTCGCAGCTCCACGTCCTCCAAAGCGCCCCACAACTCGGCGTCGGTGTAGCGCTCAAAAGGATCCAGGTTGTAGCGAATGGTGGCTGAAAACAGCACTGGGTCTTGGGGAATAATCGAAATGCGGGTGCGGAGGACCTCCAATGAAATAGATCCTGTCTCTATGCCATCGATGAGAATCTCTCCCTCGATGTGGGCCAGCCGGAAGAGAGCTCCGATCAGCGACGACTTTCCGGCTCCTGTCCGTCCCACGATGCCCACCTTCCAGCCCGCCTCGATGGTGAGATTGAGGTTCTTCAGCACAGGCGATCCATTCGGATCGTAGCGGCAGCTCATGTTGCGGAACTCCACCTGACCGCGAGTTGGCCACTGCTGTGGCGGAGACTTCTCGCTCAGCGCCGGCTCCTGATCCAGTTCTGTGTACTGCAGCACGCGTTCCACGCTGGTCATCTGCTGCAACGACTCGGCCACCTGTCGCACTCCGTACTGCACCATGCCGGTGAGGATCATGGCCTGGGCAATGGCCAGACCCACGTTGCCACTGTAAGTTGCTGAAAGGAAAGAGGAAACATATCAGTTTAGCTCTAATAAAATCCTAACAAGAGAGAAATCGTGTCCCGACTATCTATCACTCGACTAAAGGAAGTGCGAGAAAGATGGATATAAACATTTTTTTGATTGCGTATAACTTTTTAATGAATGATACGATTTGAAAAATGTCTTCTACATTTCGATAGGTATACATATACAAAACAAAAATGCATTTATACTTCTCGGAAATATTTAAAGGTGTGGGCGCCAGACACATTTTAAAATCGTTAGTGGGCGATTGTTTGGGCGTGGCGCTTGGCTGAAATAAACTTGCGCTGCGTAGGAAGCCCAAGAATATGTGTGGAAAATCTCAACCTTCTAGCTTTTGTAGTTTCCGCGATTTCAGCGTTCATACGGACAGACAGACGGACAGACGGACATGGCTAGATCGACTCGGCTAGTGACTCTGATCAAGAATATATATATTTTATAGGGTCGGAAACTCTTCCTTCTCCCTGTTACATACTTTTGCACGAATACAATATACCCTTTTACTCTACGAGTAACGGGTATAAAAACCCCATGCAAAACTCACTTTCACTGGAGATGATAAAACTGAAGGTGACGGCGGTGAGGAAGACACAACTGACGCAATCCAGCCACAAACCCAGAGCCGTATTCGCAGCCATGGTCAGTTGCCAGACGCTGCTGTGCACGTCCTGCAGCAAATCAAACTCCTTGGCCACCACATCCTGCAGCTGGCGGGATCGAATGATGGCCAGACCCGAGAGGGAGGCACTCAGGTGGGAAAACACCGGACTGCGGCAGATGCCCTCCAAGCGCTTGAGATCCTGCGAGGGTCGCAGGTACAGCTTCAGGACGAGTATATCCACAACAGCCACCACCAGCATGGCGGCCACCAGAACCGGATTCAGTATGCCAATCACAATCAGAATGCCGAACATCACCAGGGCGATCTGGATAAAGTCCATCATGGCCCGCGGCAGCAGCTCATCTATGGCGCCCATGTCCTTGGAGAAGCGATTCAGAATCCTGCCCGAGGGAGTGGTGTCGAAGAATCGCATGGTGGCGTGCAGGATGCAGGCGAACATGCGATCGTGCAGCACCTTCGAGGCGTGCATGCAGATCTTGAAGAACAGGAAGCCGCGGAACGTGGTCATGATCACCACGGCAATGATTAGGCCGCCGTAAATGTACATGCACTCGAAGGTGGTAAAGCTGGTCGCCTCACCCTGCGATCGCTGGTGCTCCTGCTGTGTCCAAATGTTGGCAAAGTAGTCCGAGCTGCTGCACACCACCTGGGACATGACCATCACGAAGACCATGAAGCTGAAGCTCAGGAGAGTGCTGCCCGCATGGAAGTACTCGTACCAGACGCGCGGTGAAATGCCGCCAGAGGCTTGGGCCTCGGCCAGAGCATCCTCATCCACTTCATCATCTAGCTGCGAGCTCTCCAACTGAAGGGGGAACGTATTAATTAATTAGAATATATAGTATATATACGCAGAAAAAAAAACCGATATGAAATAGGGTTATTTCTACCTTATTTCATATTAATAATAAGAATAATATCAACATGATATTTCATCATATCATAAAAATACCAAATATAGTATTTTTTGAGTAAATAATATAAAAAAGATTAAAATAATTTTTTTTCATATCAAAATGATATGAATAACTTGATCTTTAAAGCATTTCAAATTGACCAGTACCATTTTTTTTCTGTGTATAAATTATAAACCCACCGATTTGCTGCCATGCACCGAGCTACTCTGCTTCCTCAGCTGCTGATACCCATCCTTTTCGCCATCGATGAAGGGTATGTCCTCGTCGTCGCTCTCCAAGGAGTTAGCACTGAGTGGGGAGGCTTGCCGCTGACTGTTTTCCGCCTCATCCTCCGCCTTGGGCCGCTCGAGCAGCTTCGCAAAGTCCAGATCACTGTTGATCAACTCCTGGTAGGTGCCCTGCCTCAGGATCCTTCCCTGGTCTACAATTACAATTATGTCGGCCTCGGAGAGGAAGTGCACCTGGTGCGTGACCAGTATGCGAGTGGCCTTCAGCTGGGCCAGACGTCCCCGGGGTCCAATCACCTCGTCGAACAGATGCCTACCCACGTGCGCGTCCACGGCACTTAGTGGATCGTCCATCAGGTAAATCTGCGCCGGCTTGTAAACGGCCCGAGCCAAACTGATGCGGGCTCTCTGACCTCCGGATAGGGATGCCCCTCGTTCGCCCACAACCGTTTTGTCGCCATTCGGCAACTGCTGGAAGTCCGTGGAGAGGGCACAGCAACGGGTGACCTCCTGGTAGCGCTTCCTTTCGTACTCCTCGCCAAACAGGATGTTATTCCTCACCGAGCCCGTAAAGAGCCAGGGCTCCTGGGCGGCATAGGAAACGCCGCCCTGGATCACCACTCCGCCATCGATGACCGGCAGTTCGCCCAGGAGCAACTGGAGGATGGAACTCTTGCCGGCACCCACGGGTCCAATCACCGCACACAGTTGTCCCTTCTCGATCTGCAGATTGATGCTCTGCAGCGTCCTCTGCGGCTTCTCATTGTCCCAACTGGCATTGATATCCTTGATGGTCACGGCCCTCGCGTCTCCGCCATCCTGATCGGTCTTGTGCGTGAGTCCCTGGGTCCGCTCCTCGCGTCCCTCGAGCAGGAGGAAGTCCTGAATGCGACGCAACGAGACGAGGGCCTCAGCTCCGAAGCTCACAGCCAATGGATACCAAATGGCGGCCACCAGTTGCAGGATGTTGTAGTAACTGGCTGCGGAGAACACGAAGTCGGCGGTGATCGGCTGGCCCAGGAGAGCAGCCGCTGCCAGGGTGATATACAAGGTGGATCGCTCCGTGAACACCATGGTGCTGAGGTAGAAGCCTCGCAGGTAGGATGCATAGCGGATCTGCTGGATCTCGCGGCGCCGAGCCTCGGCCACCACCGCCTGGAAGGGCTTCTCCCAGGCGTACATCTTGATCACCTGAATGCCCTGCACCAGCTCGTTCATGATGCCCACCCTGGCGTCCGTCCGCTCCGCGATTCTCATCCGCAGCACCGAGGTCACCTTGCTGAGGGCCGTTTGCACGGGTATCGTCTTCAGCAGCAATCCCACCACTCCCACTATCGCCGGGATGCCAATGTTCAGCCAAATCAGGTAGCACGTTAGCGTCGCCTGCAGCGGCATTATCCAGATCCAGTGCATGAATATGAAGCCATAGTCCAGGCGATTCACGTCATTCGAGAGCAGGTTGATTAGGTAACCGGCTGGTGTCTGGCCAGCCGTTTTCATCGAGAGCCGAAGGGTCTTGCGGTAGATCAGCGAACAGCAGGCGATTCGCATCCTGGCGCCCATCAGGCGCTGGCGCAGATCGACGTGGTGGAGCAGGAAGCAGCAGAAGAGCGTCGAGGACACCAGGATGGCGCCCAAACTGTACATGTCGTTCCAAATGTACTCAATGCCCTGATCCAGGATACTTCGCACAACCGTGGCATTGTGGTCTGCTTGGTCTGTGGCAGGTTGAATCGCTTCCTTGATCGGATCTCCCTTATCCAGGGAATTGGGGGAGTAGACTGAAATATGTAAACATTATCAGGAACCTGATATTTGCCGTTTATTCAAGTTCGACTTACCATCCGCTGATGATCCGCTGGCATCGGCGACAGCCTGACTCATCACATATCTTCCTATCGATCGTGCAGTTCGATTCAGGGAATCCGATATTGAAATCTCGTTAACGGCGATGTCTTTAAGTCCCACAACATTTGGTTTCTGGAACTGAATCAACAACTGCGCAAGAACAGCTGGAATCAAGGTCCTATACGAACGGAGTAGCATTGACAGATAAGCCGGGTCTTATTACACTTCATACTCACTTGATCACTATGTAGATTAAGGAAATGAGGCCATTTACGATCGTAGGACCTAGGAAGCAACGAAACAGGGCGTTTTTGAGGCGGGGCTTGTCTTTTTTGCGATGCGATCGTTCCAGTTCCTTAAACCATTGACTGAAAAATAATCATCAGCTTTATTAAAATATTCTTAAATAGATTTAACCAATAAGAATCAGTTCCATTGTGTTTCTTGTCAATAGAAAATACTTACTCCTCCAAGCGGTCGCCCAGCTGTTCGGATCGATCATCTTTGAGACATTGCGTCAGGTCATCCGTATTCAGGCCTCTTCGGGATCCCCGATACAGTAATGGTATTGCCCAGGCAAATATCAATTGGGATATAATATTGGCATGCTGGCGCGGGTTTTCGCGCTTTGGCTTGGCGCTGCTATCCATGCTATCATATGGATGGGTAGCTCCCGTCTAGATCTGAGTCTCCTTCCTTCTACCTGCAATCGCAAACAAACTAAAAGTAAACTCATGTTAAATAATAAAGACCTGCAATTTCATTGGCTGGAAGATAAGAATACGTGACAGAGACTGAGTAATAATTAGCGTAAACATTGCTAATAAGAGATCTAAAGACCTTTAGTTTAAGATATTAGATCAAACTTGAATTCAAGGAGAAAGTATTAAAAATGTTTTAATAAATACTAATTATTGTATGAATAGGGGGCGTATTTATATAAAAAAAATAATTAAAAATGTTGCAAAAAAATCTATAATTTGCGAATGACAAATGTCTACTGTATCCTCTTGCATTCACATGTCTTAGTGATACAGACGAATGAAACAGGCAGACTAGTCATGACTAGTCTACTAAGAGCTACTTCCTTATCAGTAGAGACCTTGACCAATAAAGGGTAATCTGTTATATTTGAGGTTGTTTTATATAAATAAGAAACTTAGGGAAATAAACACGTTTCCAATAGGCTACCATAAACTAGAGACTTTACTTGTCTGATAAAGTTTACGTGTGACTAGGACCGCGGTTTTTTGGTAATGGAGAGTTTTAATACGGACTCTCCTTTAAAGATAAAAATGATTAATGAATTGGGGTTTTATGAAGAGAGCGTGGCACGAACTTTGCTCAGCATAGACTAGACACGGGTCAATCACACGATATCGGTCGTTAGCTTATAATGCCTAGGCTATTTGCTTTGTCTGTAACTGATAGCAAACGACTCGAGGAGCGTAAATCAAAACGCATTTTGAGCCGCACACGACACTTGCACATCTTCGTATGACAATAATCATAATGTTTATTAATTGGTAAGCTAAAGTCCAGAGACCTTCTCAGATAAGCAGGATTTAGGCACGTATATTCTACTTATAAATATGGCTGTTTTCATACGGAGGTTGCCAGCCAGGGAAAAATATTATGACCCAGTTACTTGCAGCGGAAATTTCACTTTTCGAATTAAAACTTTATCCAACAAACTTCACAAGTCGAAGTGATTGACCGGCAAATGTGCATGTTGCACTGTTGCTCAATGTGAAGTAATATAGATTTCCAACGCCCCTTATACGCGTCACCCCTTTTTTGAGTTAATAGATTTCAATTGTCTGGGATCGCAGGCAATTAAATAAATGTGACGTTGCCAATGAATTTACGTAAATTGATAAAAGTGGGTGGGCGCTATTCGATTTAAGCTATTAAAGCAATTTACGAAGTATTTAACAGATAAACATTATCTACGATAACAAGTTTTCGTGAGAGCTCAAAATAGCCCACATTTTTATCAGCTCTATTATCTCTGCTTGCGGTTAAAAATATTTAATTTAGTTATTTCAGTCAGCTGCACATTTTTAATGTTATTTCAATTGTTTAGAACAGGTTTTGTATGCAGCAACGGTGACAAGCAATTCGACGTTTCACGTTTCATAAATTTTCAAACGAAATCAAATTTATGAACCCGCTAAATAAACACAGACAGAGGAACACTAAGACAAAGATAGCTTTGGTGACTACAAATGTGGCAACAGATTGTAAAACAGTGATTCATTTATTTTTGCCGGTACCGCAAAGTCATTTACAGTGAAACTTCGAAAGCGGGAAGATATTCGCAAACGGTCAGAAAAACACTCAAGCCAAATTTATTGACTGTTTCTGGGTACCAAAATAAGTCTCATAGATTAATAAGATTATAATCTTATCAAGATGATTGTTTATGGTGTAGGTTTCCCTGTGCACATACACAACTGCACACTGAAAAGCACTGGGCCAATCGTCGACCTCACAGCAAACAAGTGGTTGTTGGCCGGTCGTGGCAGACCAAAGGTGCTTAAATTGCGGCTGTCTGAATGGAAAACCGGCATTCCAATTGCTTTGCATATGGAAAATTTTCCACACTTCCCATACAATGGTAGAAACTAAATTTAATAACGGTTAATGACGTAAACGCGAAGGGAGAATTGCAGCAGACGCCGACATAACAGCACATTGAGCACTGAGCACCCGCACCGCACCCAGACTATCAGAAACAAAGAGCCAAATTCGCACACACCAATGCCAATATGCAGTACATACATATATTGTAGAGATATAATTGTACAGCACTTCTTACGCGATTGTGCTGGGCTCCAAATTTTCAATTCGCCGCTAGATTAAATCAATTAATTTGCCACTTACAGGCGCTACCGGAGCATTAATGAATTCCCTCCACTGTTGTCTATCTATTATTGTACCACTTGGAACTGTCGCGACCGAGCAGCACGTGCAGAAATAGTACGAATACTATCACAGGACGCCGACTAACACACACGCACTCCAACGGACCAACAACCACGACCCGAAAAGCGCCACACGTCTGTCTCTTTCAAAAGTTGGGGACCGACTGAGAGCTTCTGGGGAGCTAAAGTAATGCGTAAACGTCGATGATTCAGACCAAGTGGAAGAGCAGCGGGTTGGGTTAGAGAGACCCTCTCTCCTACACTATACTACCAAAGTTCAGAAGGGAATTGGGTTTGGTTAAACATAAGTACCTAGGTTTTTGGTAAAAATAGGAAATATTTAATACGGTTTTTCCTGTTATTTAGTAAAAAACTTCCTTAAATCAATAATACTTAATTATTTAAACAGTTAACAGTTTTCATCACTTTTCGTCTGACTTACCCATACTAAAATTTCCTTAAATTTTTTTAATTTTTCTAAGGGGCTACATCACGATTTTTAGAAACAAATCTTAAAAAATTAACATTTTTAGATTTTGATGTCAGTCAATTGGAAATTTTATTATGAGCTCAACGAATTATGACATTACATTGGATCATTATATCCTTTGTATGGCCAAAATACTGAATTTTTGGGTAGAAAATCAAGATCTGGGTTTTTGGTAAAAATATCTTTACTTTTTAATAACTGGGCCAATAATTGTACCAAATAACAAATTCGTGCCTTTTTTATATGATTTGAATTTCACAATATCTTTTTATCTGCACAGAGAACATAAACATCGTCTTGTCGAACATCTCTTTTTTTCTTGCTTTTCTTATATTTCACGCTATCACTCTTTTTTCGCAGCGTTCTTCCGACAGTTAGATTGCTGATAAAATCCTGCTTAGCTAAGAGCTTCCCATTTGTTTGTTTAAAAACCCCTAAATTTATTTGTAGTTTGAATCTCAGTTTAAGCATCAGCACAAGTCAATTTAAACTCACACATCAAAAAAGGGGTGGCAAAAAAAATTTTGAGACAGAAGGGAAAGAGAACAAAAGCTTCAGATGTAAAAAAAAATTTAAGCTTTTGACATGCTTTATAAACGTGTAAAATATAAATCGTAGAATAGATCAAGTCTATTCTTAAAAAAATAGTTTTTAAATTAAAAAATCATTAGAAATAATTAAAACAATACCAGGCTTTTAAACAAGTTTTAACATTATAATTTTTGTCACCCAAACTACTCTACTCATATCATAATCTTTTAATCGGTTTTTCCAGTTGCACAACACTCACATTAAGGACACAACACCCACCACCACCCCTGTCAATTTGTGTAAACATTCACTGCAACAGTTGTTCTATTTTGGCGCCAAAAATAGCTGAGAACATAAACAAAAGTTCTCGCACCGAAAGCTCGCTCTATCACTCAATAGCTCTCTGAAAGACTTTGTTACAGGATGTAGGTCAACCACTGCGTATGAGTGATATTGCAAAGGCAATAGAGTTTCGCTTTCAGTTACCGCACTTTCAGTTGTGCGACTCGCGTACAACGGGACACTTAACACGGATAATGTGAAAACCCAAACGGAGGTTTTTCCAAAGTCCTGCGAAGGAAATTCGCGCGCGACTTTTCCGAATCAATACAGCGACTTGAGTGCCGGGCAAAAAAAACGCAATAAAAGAAAGCAAACGGAAATACAAAGGCCGAACAATTGAATTTTATTTTTGGTAACCCATTGACATTGTTCGCAAAAAGGCAAGTGACTCTCAAACTGGGCAGAGGCTCAGATTCAGGCTCTCAGAAAATGAGAACCTTTTCCGTGTCCTTTGACGACCAATAAAAGCCATTAGCACCCATTCAAGTGCTAAATTGCTGAGACAAGATGGAAATAAAATGATAATCCGTCTTTTAAAAGATCGTTATTAAAGTGCGTTTGAACTAAGAATCAGAATGGCAACTCTAAAATGTATTTTTTTCGTTAAAGTTTTGCATCATCATCTTTTTTTTGTGTGTGCCATTAAAAATGCAAAAGTCCTAAGTGGCGACTTCCCTAAGTCCACCTGCGAAAAGGTTTGGCTCTTATCGCGACTCTAGAGACACGCCCATCGGTTTCATTCAACTTGAAGCATGTAAATTACACATACGCAGCGTTGTACCAGGAAAACTTGCAAAAAATAGAAAAAAAACAGTATAAAACGCAGTGTCAAGTGACAGAAAGAGCTGTCAGAGGAGAAGAAGAAGGGGTTGGCAGACCTGACTTTGGTAGGCATTTGAAATATTTATGAAAGCCAGCGCATTTCCATGAAGCCTCCAACTTTTTTCTTGCTCCTCCGCTGTTGTTGCTGTTTATCCTTTATTTTTCGGTGGCAGCCTTTCGCACTCGACATCAAGGGTAATTAAAATGTGGACACATTAAGGCGTCTCTGGGTCCTGTGGTTGTGGTTAGCCCCTCACAAACACAAACACACACACACACCGATAAGGATATCCTTGCAGCTGGTGACGAGTCAGGCGAGGGAAAAGTTTAGGATTTGCGTTTAGGTTAAGTTGTTCCCCCAAAGTGGAACGTTTTATATGCACTGGGGAATGGGGCTGGCGTGTTTAAGCCTGAGCTACCTCACCATTCGCCTGCCCGTATAATTAAACAAATATTTTAATTAGAAAGATGTATTAACACTGCATGTTTAAACTAAAAGTGAGGTAGATTTCCGTCACCCGCATGAAAGTGCTTAGATTAGATGGATAGATTCGTAATTCAACTGTGTACGCAACTGTGTGATGAACTAGTATAATCCCAACATTACACCTTTTAGCTTTAAATATTTATTTGCATTTGGAATAAGTTCCATTTCTTAATCCCTCTTTAGTCCAACTAAGCCGGTGTAAAAACCTCTACACATACTTCATTTTTTATGAGCCATGAATTGCAAACCATTAAGCGGAAGTTGTATTTTCAAAAGTAGTTTCCCATAGCCTGTTTTCCCCCAAAGAATCCTTGACATTGTATCCTTTGACCCGCCTAAGCCTCATTAATAATCGGCTGCCTTTTTTGGCTTCCTTTGTTTTTCTTTTTATTGCCGCAATCAACGGTTTCCGTGCGTGTTCCTCCAGTTTGGTATTAGAGGACTGTCGGCATTTCGGGGCAATAACCAGTCGACAAAAAATAGAAACAAACTTGTGTATAATTCATAAGGCAAACGAATTCCATTTGTACTTAGATACCGAGTTGTGGTCAGTGCTGTTGATGTCAGCCTTGTCTGCGACCGATATTAAAGCCCAATAATTCGGATTACCGAGAGAAACACATGTGTTTCAAGGCAACATGCCTTGAATGGAGGATAATTTTGTGGTCGAAACTTGGGTGGCGAAACTTTCATTTGCCTGACTCCCAAGTCAGTTATTTTATATGTTTCCCCGAGGCCGCTTTACGTTAACATCATCTGCATATAACAACTTGGGCAAAGGTCTTTTTTGGCTAACCGAACGTAGTCAAAAGAAATGTTTGACATGCCAGGCGAAAGCATGCTTTAAGGTGCTCCGGAAGGTCCCGAAACATCTGGCTTTGTAAGAAAATTTACCTAAACACTGGGAATGGCCAAAACGTGCTCGGCTGAGTTCCACACGAGTGAATAGAATGTTTACTGAAAATCTTTTAAAAGCACTGCATGAAAAGCCACTATGTTAAAGAAAGTCTAAATTGAGTGTTCCTGATTGAGTTTCCAGCTGTGGAACCTTGAATCACCATCTCACCCCTTGGCTCTAATTCAATTGTGACCTCATTTAATGTTTGCTTCAATGTATCTAAGACATTGGTCTGCAATCAATGTTGCTTCCGATACACAGATAAAATCAATTACTATTTTGGCATTTTTGTAGTACAAGAAAACAAAAAATAGAGGTCTAAATGTGTCACATAATATATGATTCAATATAAACGAATTGATTTACTTTAAAAAAATTCAAATTCAAATTAAATTCTTGGCATGGTTTTAGATTAAAGAGTGTTTTCATTACGAAAACAAACCAATAAGAATATTTTTTGTGTAACTGAATTAAAGTCAAAATGTTCTATAACATTTTTGCCGTGTCTGAATGTCTGCCTGACCTGCTACACATCAAAGTTACCTTCGGTGGGCCAGGTCTCCCTGGTTCTCATCGTTTTGCTCGACTGGAGCCGCTCCATAAATCAAAGGCGATGTGACGCAATTTTCTTGCAATCGCCAGCGATGCTACACGAAAGCTAAACAGCACAAAAAAGAATATTCCCAATTTGTTTACATTGTTCGTTCAATAAAGTCAAGGCGCCGTCATCGAGTGACCTCGATTACCGCCGGGGAATTGTCACACTTTAGTTTTGAATTAAGTTTTATGGCACGTTGATGGGGGCAAAAGTTTTATTACCAGCTTGGCCAAACCCATGCCACGCCCCCCAAGTGGGTTCAAAGTTGAAAAACCTCAAAGGAACCTACATGATTTTGGGGGAAATCAAAGCAGTCGATATAAAATATTTAAGGGGCAATTAAACGAAGGCACGTGTGTATGAATGTTTCTTCATTCAAAAGGATGCAGAATGTGGCTGGGAAAATTCTCGAAATTTCCCTAAGGCTTCATTGTGTCATTAATCGAGCATACGTATGTGTATGTGTTTGTTTCACCGGAAAGGAGGAACTCACTTCCGCTGATCCCAACTTGATTACCATCTACACAGAGAAAAAGTGTTGCAGTTAAAGAGTATTTGCTGTTTTTAAATCATGTTCATGGTTATATTAATACTTTGTGTGTAAAACATCAATAAGATATATTTAGATAATACAACAAAGAAGGGAGCTATTTTGGTCGCTTAAAATTGTCAGTATTTCGCGGACGGATTCTCCCTGTGTTGGGATACGACATCCGCTGGCTCCATTTGCCTGCAAGCTTCGTCCTTCGTCCTTCAGCTGAGTTCTTCTGCTTTCCTGCATGTCCTGCAGCCAGACAATGTGTGCAACGGTGTGCGTGCGAGCGTGTGAGTGGATTCGTGGATGTGAGTGGGTGACTGTTGAAGGCCATGTTCAAGTACGTCCTTCTTCCTGGGCAGACTTTGTTTGCTTTTGATTTGCGCTTTTTCGTGGTGCACTTCCGCCGCCGCTCTTTTCTCTCGCTTTGTTTACCTTTCGATTTCACATCGAAGCATTAAAAATGCATATGCCATGATTATTACACATACGCCATGTGTTCCGCAGCCATTTCATATTTATGAAAAACCGAGTGAGATCGAGCAACAAGCCAGCAAACCAGCAAACAAACAAACAAAGCTGGAAAAAATGCCGCTTAATCCTTATTCATGGCTGCACACTTCCCAGGGTTTATTACGCCCGTGTGCGTCATCCGGCAGTGGCTCTCAAACTGTTTCGCTAATTACCCAACACAGCCTAGATTTTATCTCATTTGCAAGTGAGTCGGCCAGAAAAAAGCAGACGGCTAACAACAACAATTACCACTTGACCCAGGACCAAGGACAATCAGTTCAATTACACTGGCAAACAAAATTCGACAGGAACAAAAACTATGCAAAATTATTACTTTTAACAAATGTTTAATTAGTTTGTGTAATTATAATAATATTGGAAATTTAATTAACTGACTAACAAAATAGCTCCAGAATTTTTAAAATACAAAAATTTCGAATTCAAGTTTTAAAATGCCACCAAGAATTTTGTCAAATTTCTAGCAGTCTATTATTTCATAATTAATCATTTTAATTGTAGAGCAATTGTCATTTCGTATAATTTCTAACTTCCTAATTTATCATTCTGGCTGTCAATCAACTAGTAAATGCAGCTAAAGTTTAGTTAGACTGGGACTGAGCAAAGGCAAATGGCTCTGAGCAACGAGAGTGTTCCTTAGTTGTTCATTAATATTCAAATTAATTGCCGAACAAAGAGCTCCCTTTGTGAGTGCAACCTTGCTGTGTAGTGCCTCCGACCAGGAGCCTCTGATGGAAGACCATGGCGCCAAGAATCCCGCAGTGCTGCTGCTTCTGACGGCTGCTGCGGAGACATAGCTTCCACTCAAACCGCGAAGCTTTGACTCAAAGCCCCCAAACTCGCGAGACTTCTTCTAGTGGCTGATGCTCGGAGAATTGAATTCAATTCAATTTAGTTCCCAAACGCCGCTCACAATGAAAAGTCGCTGAATTCGCTCCGTTCGTTACAGGAATTCGAAAAAACACAAACTAAGTGAAGTAATCAGGTCTATAAAGAATTCATTCCGTGCTCTCGGTGCGTATAATCAGTTTATTTCTGCCTTGTTTGATGTGTAATCCAAATCCGGTTGTGTTTTTTTAAAAAATACCATTTTTGTTTACTGCGGAAAATAGAACTTGATAAAAATATACAGAAAACATTCTCGCCGCCCTGAGCTATATTCGCCCCTCAATATATATGCAAATACGTATTTAGTTGGCTTTCCGTTCGTTGTGGTTTTTGTGTGTGAATATTAAATGAAAGGAATTTTAGCTCCGACGAGCTATCTAAATATGTACAAAGAAATGCATAATTTTCAAATAATTACAAATAGCTACAAATATGTTTATAAATTGTTTATCTAATGAAAGCCAATTCAAAAGTGCAAAGAGAAAAATTATAAAATGTTTTACTATTTATAGAAAGGGAAAAATACGAAAAGCGGAAAAAATAAATAACATTTTAATACAGTGAAAAGGAAAAGTCATAAAAAGCAACCGAAAGTGATACACTAAATCAACTTTAATATATTCATGGAAATGAAACCATCTTGATTGCTGCACTTTTAATTGAGCACCGACTCTTTATTTCAGATGCACATAAATTTCACCCAGCCCGAAAATCATAAATAACCCACACTCAGCATACACAGAACACAAGTGACACCAGAGCCCAAACGATGAGGTGATGCAACAATTAATTTATTTATTTATCATTTATTTAAGCATATTACACGACACAAACGATGGAGCTCACTCAAGTATTCCGCACGTTTAAAGTAGCCACATATCGAGACTACGTCATCGCCAAGAAACCTGAACACAAAAAAAACTAAGTTTGAGCAAAACAAAAATAAAAACCGAGTTCCGTTCAAGTTCTTGGCAATGGGAAGTCTCCCCATCATTTTGAAGGCAGACAAGCTTTGGCAGCCAGTCTAGAATTAAGACCCTCTCTCGAATTCGGGGTTTTCTCTCACTCTCTTATGCTATGCTATATATGGTATATTTTTTGGATGCCTTTTTTGGGGCAGGAGGTTGGGTGCTCTGTTCAACAGGTGCCCAGCAGCTCAGAACGAAACGGAATGTAACAATTCCCCAGCAGTTAAAGTTGAATTAGCAAAGCTCGTAACCGGAGAGGGACACCCTCCTTGTCAGCGAGAAAAACCCCCCAGTTTGCCACTCCAAGAATTCAGCTTAGTGAAAATTCCTGGTCTCCTTTGTTGTTAACAGCAAACAAAGCGTAAAAAAAGCGTAAAATGCTGAGGCTGTAAATCTCTTGAAAAGTTTGGTTTCGTCCGATTATCCGAGTCAAGGTTACCACATAAAATTTGTATGTGCTGCTAAAAGAAAATTACGGCTATATTATAATGAGTCCCCAAAGCCACCGAATAAAAAGAATGAAAGGTAAACAATGAGGAATATTCTGGGAAATTTGAATAAAGTCAACAGCTGCTAAGCGTTGAATAATTAAAAGGGACGTTGGAATAAAAGAAAAGTTTGATGGAAATGAAAAATACACTTTGTAAGCTTGGGAAAGTTTTGGAAAAATAAATAATTGAAGTGGGAAAATTAAGTTAGCGGCTATAAAAGTTTATGAAAAATCATCATGTTAGAATAGAACTTTTCATAATAGCTATTAAATCTTTTTTAATTCATTTAGCTGGTTGGGTTCAAAATTACAATGAATCACAGTCCTCTTCAAAAACTTGAGCAAAAAGTTTTCTTTCAAAAAGTTAAAACAGGTCACTCGATACCCCTATGCTTTCTTTTGTGTGTGCTCACAAACTTCACAAATAAGTCGGGCTACCCTTGAGGGAAACGAAAGCTATTTTGTGTATCCACTCAACAGGTAACGCGGTGGGTGGTGAGCACCACCAGAAAACTCGTAAAATTGTGTCAATTTACCCCGCCCACATGGCGTATGAGCAATGCGAGACTCTATTAAAGAAATGAAAAATTAAGCTACGTAAACAAACAAGGTGTTCGTAAACGTTTTGTGTACTATATTTTTGCAGAGCGTTTATGGAGTGTAGAGAGAACTGGGGAGGCATTCCAAGATCACATTTCTAGCTAATAGCACAATATAGTATGACATCATCGTAAACATGAGCATTGAGTTCGACGCCGGCATCTTAGCCGGCAAACGCTAATGAGTCAGCTGTCGAGAGCTTTGCAATCGGAAATATCTGGTAAAGATGCTTATAATTGTGTACGCCCATCTCTTGCAGCGATAACACCCCGTCGGTGCCCTTGGCGGAGTTCACCAACCCACCCGATCCCACGGAGACCGAACCCTTTGTGCCCCTGGTGGAGGCCAAAAAAATGAGCGAAACCCCAGTGGTGGCCCCTGCCACGCCCACCGGCAATGGCAACGGAACGCCCACACAGGCGGGAAATGGAAATTCAACGGTGGCCACCAAATCCGTCGTCGACGATAACAGCATTTTCTCCGTCTTCTACTCGCTGGGCAAGAAGGTGGCCATCGTGGGCTCCATCTATCTGGTGGGCTACATGGGCTGGTCGGTGGCCTGGCTGATAGCTCCCGTCATCCTCTCGGTGGCTCGCGACCAGTTGGCCAAGACCTCGGAGAAGAAGCGCGATATTGCCAAGGCCTCGGCCCTCGCCTCCGAGAAGGACGTGATCCTGGCCAGAATTGATGAGCTGCCCGCCTGGGTCTACTTTCCCGACGTGGAGCGTTGCGAGTGGCTGAATAAGGTAAATAAACTTAGTTCTTAAAACCAACTGAGTACTTATAAGAACAAAAGTATAATAAGGCTCAGATGACACATTCAATTTTTAGCGTAAATTTATTGTGACAATTTTTCATTTGTGTGAGTTTAAAGAAGTGCAAGCGAGTCAGGATTAATATGATATCGCGCCTTTATTATTTATGTTAGTGGTAGAGCAGCCAAAAATATTTAATTCTTTCTCGAGCTCGTTTGAAGTCCCATTAAAGAAAAATTGCTACAATAAATTGACGTTAAAAATTGAATGATAATCTGAGCCTTATGAAATCCCCAAAACTAAAATGGTTTTATCGCATAGCTGTGTTTCACAATTTCTGTTTTAAAAAAAATGAAACATCCTGAATGAGTTGCCTATTTGATAAGGTTATTTTAGCTTAATAATACTTTGATAAAACTATTTTTGGAATATGCGTAATTCCTAATGCGGATAGGAATTTGAGTTCTTAAAGCTCTTACATGACTTTAATATTCTAATAATTATTTTCAACTTACTACTACATTTTTGCAGATACTGAAGCAAGTGTGGCCCAATGCCAATCACTTTGCTCGCACTTTGGTGAAGGAGACCATCGAACCGAATGTGGCATTGGCACTGGCCAATTACAAGATGAACGGATTCCGCTTCGATCGCATTATCCTGGGCACGATACCGCCTCGCATTGGGGGCGTGAAGATCTACGACAAGAATGTGGATCGGAATGAGATCATCATGGATCTGGATCTGTTTTATGCCAGCGACTGCGACATCAATTTCTATTTGGGTGGTATGAAGGGTGGTATCAAGGACTTCCAGATCCATGGTTGGGTTCGGGTGGTGATGAAGCCTCTGATCCGATCGATGCCCCTGGTGGGAGGACTGCAGATCTTCTTCCTGAACAATCCGAATATCGATTTCAATTTGGTTGGAGTGATCGATTTCATGGACATGCCGGGGCTGAGTGATTTGCTGAGAAGGATCATTGTGGAGCAGATAGGCAATGTCATGGTGTTGCCCAATAAATTGCCCATTTCGTTGAGCGAGGAGGTTTCGGCCGTGGCTCTAAAGATGCCCGAACCAGAGGTGGGTTATTATGGCAATATTTCTTATAAATGATTTCGAATATATAACAAATGCAATATACCTTTTTTTTTTAGGGCATCCTGCGCATTCATGTGGTCGAGGCCAAGGATCTTATGAAGAAGGACATCAGCGTGCTGGGCAAGGGCAAGTCGGATCCGTATGCCATTATCAATGTGGGCGCCCAGGAGTTCAAGACCCAGATTATCGATAACAACGTGAATCCCAAGTGGGACTACTGGTGTGAGGTACGTATTCCCTGGGCGATTCCTTCGGGGATCCCGAGATGATCCCCAGAAGCTTGTTGCGTTGCTTTTTGTAGTCTGCTGATGTTGTCGATCGATTGCTGCATGATACAAACCAACACAAGTCCACCGATTTCCTGCATAGTTTGTTGTTTTGCCTTTCCGTTATTTCCATTTTGATTTTTCATTCTTTTATCACTCGATTACTTTGTTTGGCGCCTGAACGCAGGCAACTGTTTTTATTGAAATGGGTCAATTTGTCGAGATTCAATTGAAGGACTCGGATGATTCCAAGAAAGACGAGAACCTTGGCAGGTAAGCAATGTTTTCATTTATCCTTTTTGAGTTAACACACCGAACCCCAGCGCACCGCCCCCTTTAAATCCCAGTGAGTAATGTGTTTGCCGATTAAATTGAGAGCTCTTTTTGCATGAAACAGCCGCCGAAACTGAGTATTGACAGGCAACATTTTTGGTTTTTCGTTCCTGTTTCGCTCTGCTTTATGGATTAAATACTCTTTTCTCTACTTTCTACCACCCCAAAACACTCACACATTTGTTTTTCTAGGCGGTTATTTTCACTACCATAGGCCACTATATTGGGTTTTCTTTGTGGGACTATGATCAGACAATGCCAGGTGTACAGAGCGATGATGTATTGGGCAGGTTGTATTGCCGCATGAAACTGCATTCACAATTCGTTTGTTTGTTCCTCTTGGTTTTTCGTTCTTCTTGATTTTTATTTACCTTCTGAATACGTTTACTAACAAGCACTGAAAAAACACGGCAAAGTGATGAGAAATCCGCCAATGAAAATGTTCTGACCTGAATAGTTTTGGTTCGCACATAAAATAAATATAATATTATTACTGTATATTTGTTAATTAAAACTTGTAAACTTAAACTAGTTTAACATTGTTTATTTAATTGTTAAAATGTTGCAAGTTTTGGTATTTAACAACAAATGTAAAAGAAATTAGACATTTCCTAAAATGCATTTACATTTTTTCATAAATTCGCATTAAAAATAAAGGAAAATATTTGTAGTAATTTTGATATTGTTTGTTCCCAAACAATTCTCATCACTTTCGCCAAACCGACATAAGCTCTCACTTCTTGACTCAAATGAACTAATTTGCATGCCCTTTGACACCTGTTTTTGAACCACAAGCAGATGCTGGAGCACTTTGAACCACTGATACACACTGAAACCAGAACCACCAGCATGCCAATGACAATGAATTCTTGTAGTTAGAACCGAACCTGTAAATAAAACCCTACTGAGACCGTAGTTGTGTAGATTTTGCGCTGGAACTAACCATTAATAATGCTAAAATGTCTTTTACCCTGCTTTTGGTTCGAACGATGAATATGAATGGAGCAGGCTGTGGTCGAGGTCTCCCAGCATGCCATACTCGTGCTCAGACTTTTTGACTGGGACCGCACTAGTGATGACGAGTCGCTCGGCAGGTTAGGCAACCACCAATTTGATTGATTGATTGAATAAAACACGAACGAACACCCACAACAAGAAATCGGACACACTCATTTCCCAAGAGCTCCCCCAAACAAGAACTCAGAACGAGATACCCTGAAACAGCTTTATTTTAAGGGGGAACTGCTAACAATTTAACCAAATATTCATGGTTTTTATTTTCCTTGATTTGAAATAAATGTTATATTATTTTAACTAATATTATATTTTACTTTCCAAAAACAGAGCTAGCATCGATATTGCCAGCGTTATCAAGAAAGGCGTTGTGGATAGCGTGAGTAGATGGATATTTCTCAATTGTTACCAAGTTATTTTATTTCATTTATTTATATTTCAGTGGCTAACCCTGGAAGATGCCAAGCATGGACTTCTTCATGTCCGCCTGCAATGGTACAAACTCACTGCCGATCCCAATGATCTTCAACAGATCTTGCTGGAAACTCAGCTCCTACGCGTGACCACCATGAGCTCGGCGGTTCTCAGTGTATTCATTGATTCCGCCAGGCACTTGAAGGTGGGTGCGCTAAAAATGAATCAAAGAATTAATTGTTAAATGCTAATCCCCACTCCCAGCAAGCTCGATCCAGCTCCAAGCCCGATCCCTACCTGGTGTGCAGTCTCAACAAACAGAAACAGCAGACGGCCATGATTATGCGGGATGACTCGCCGGTTTGGGAGCAGGGCTTCACCTTCCTGGTCAGCAATCCCGATAACGAGAGTCTGAACATCAAGATCTACGACCAGAAGACCGGAAACGATATCGGCCAATACACCTATACCCTTAGCACTCTGCTCAAGCAATTCAACATGGAGGTTATCCAGCAGCCCTTCCAACTGCAGAAATCTGGACCGGAATCGAAGCTCTATATGTCGCTCTCACTTCGGATCCTTAAGCCAGGGGAAATCGACAAGGAATCTGATGCTTTGGAGCAAGTGGCGGCCCTCACTCGCAGCAGTTCTGTAAAAACACCCGATGTGGCTGTAGTGGCACCTCCAGCATTTAAGGTGAGTCATTTCATACTGTATTGCAAACTATAAAAGAAAAGATTTTTGTGACTTTCTCGTATATCTGTCAAAAAAAAATAATTTGTTGCCAAAGACTCTATTTTATGGAAGAGAATTGGCTCGACCGTTTTCAAGGTCCTCGATAGTATAGTGGTCAGTATCCCCGCCTGTCACGCGGGAGACCGGGGTTCAATTCCCCGTCGGGGAGAATGGAAAATTCTTTTTTTTTTCTAAATTTTGATGTAAAAAAATATTTTTTTTTTTTATTTTCATTAAACTATTAACAAAAGTTTTTTTTATTGAGCAATAGGTTTTTTATTTTTTTTTTATTTGGCATTACTTTTTTCTCTGGGCAAAGTGGTTGCAAATTAGTTTCGATTTAAATATATAAATGATATTTTCATTGCCTTTAGGAATCTCAGACATCCAGCAAGCGTTTGTCCGCCGAATCGCCCATCAGTGAGGAGGATCCTGCAGTCGTTGCGAAAATCTCCCCGGCCATGTCGGCCTCCACCTCCAGCGAGAAGCCCATCAGCGAGCTGGCCGCATCCGTGCTGACCCATCGCTTCCCGGACTCCACCGCATCGCCTGGTGAACACGGCCTTGGACGGATGCAGCTGTCGATCCGGTACAGCGCCCAGCGGCAGAAACTGGACGTGACCATTCACAAGATCCAAAAGATACCACTCCGGGATCCCAGCAACATCCCCGATCCGTATGTGAAGCTATACCTGCTGCCGGGACGCAGCAAGGAGTCCAAACGCAAGACTGGCGTGATTAAGGACAATTGCAATCCTGTTTACGATGCATCCTTTGAGTACCTGATTTCCATTGCCGAGCTCAGGCAGACAGAACTCGAGGTGACGGTGTGCACACAAAAGGGATTTTTATCCGGCGGCAGTCCCATCATAGGCATGGTAGGTACCCGCAATCAACCCCTAAGAATATGCCACCCCGAAGGTCCTTCACATCCTTATATCCCTATAATTCCCAAGTGTTTATTCCGCGAGGAGGCAATATAAATAGGAAAGAAACCCACTTGAACTTCGTTCTTGCTTCGGCAGAACATATACTAAAATTGGAACGATACAGAGAAGATTAGCATGGCCCCTGCGCAAGGATGACACGCAAAATCGTGAAGCGTTCCACATTTTTTTGCTGCTACTAAACTCTTTTCAAATCATTTTCTTTCAGCTGAAAATACCTCTGGACGACGCCGAGATTACCACACAATCTGGCTTGAATTCTTGGTTCGACTTGCAGCCTGAAATACGGCACGAGTAGTGAAACCGGAGTCACACGAATGCGGAGTCTCATTACAGCACAATCAACTCAAGAACAACTTAACACTTTTTTACCAATCGCACTTAAAGCCTTTTATATTTGTTATGTGTATACTTTATTTGGTCCCTAACCAAAACGAAACGAAACTCTCTTAGTCGTGCCTCTATATTTAAAACTATCAATTTATTATAGTCAAATAAAACGAACTGTGTTTTCAACAAAGAAGGAAAGACTCTTACTTTTTTATACCAAATTTCACAATTAGAAAATCAACGATTTCAGTATACTACTGTCTTATTATTTATTGCCATGGCAGGTATCCGAAACCAACCCTCTGAGAAGAAGCCCACATCGAACATCCATTGCATCCTTCCAATTCCCAAGTCCTTGTTCTGCAAGGATGCTATATAAATAGGGTGAAAACTAACTTGAACTTCGTTCTTGCTTCGGCAGAACATATACTAAAATTGGAACGATACAGAGAAGATTAGCATGGCCCCTGCGCAAGGATGACACGCAAAATCGTGAAGCGTTCCACATTTTTTTGCTCTAAACACTTACTAAGTATCAGTCAAAAAGATTATGTACTTGTATATATTTTATAATGGGAGAATTCACCAAAAATATATTTTGTATAAATACATTGGATTTTTAAGTATAATTACTTAATTGTTTTAACAATAATTTTATCTGTCTTACGTTTTTTTGTTATGTTTGAAAAATCCGATGTTCGGTTCATTTACAATATATAATAATACCCTTTACCCGTAGTACAAATCCCTAAGAGGAAAAATATAAATTTTACCTGAGTCCAAATCCGGAAATAGGTATTAAAAACTAAATTATTTTTTACCCTCTAATTGTCTTATAATCCAATCGCGGTAAAAATGTACCCGCGTGTATAAACTGGGAACGTTCGGAGTGCCACATGCGGTTCCTACTGACGTGATCCCCATGACTTGATATTTGCACCCATATCCAGTATAGGCAACCAGTAGCGGACCCCCCGAGTCTCCATTGCAAGTGTCCTTCTCATCAGGAGATCCAACACACAACTGGGACTCTGATTTGTACCCTTCCGGCAAATCCTCGTTTGGCTCCGTTGTCCTCCAACACAAGTAACCATACTTTTCTAGAACCACCTTCCTTAGCTCTTTGGATTGTTCGAGTTTTTCAAATCCCTCCTGGCCCCATCCGATGGCAGTAAAGTGAGTATACTTGTCTCCATTGCAAAAAGGCAGGCATGCAGGCATCTTATATTGATTGTATCTGATTTTCCCCCGCAAAAGGACAACTCCAATATCGTTGTAGAAAACTGGGTACCGAAAATCTGGATGGGCCTTAGTTTCGAGAACTTCAAAGTCCTCCGGCTGCGCATCATCCGCGTCGCTATCGAAAACTAGTTCTCCCAAGCGCACTACGTTTACGGATCCTCTGCAGAAATATAACTTTCATATTACATACATTTTTTCATATAAGACTGGAAACTCACTCATCTGAATAAAAGCAGTGGGCAGCTGTTAGAACTATACGATCACTGATTATCGTGCCGCCACAGAACCATTTGGTTTTGCTTAGAGGTGAATTACGATGACCAAGGCGAGCTGCCGGGGTGAACTCTTTCGGATCCGCTGGATCGGCGAGCACTGCGAAAAGGACAAAACTCTCACGTTGAGCAAATATTATATCACAATTAAAGCCACACAGCAAAATTAGTGTAATAATATTTCTGCTCATTTTTTATATTTTAAAAGTGCGACTGCATTGATGGAAGATCTTGTAGAGACTAAATCAGTGATTTTCGTATTAATACCAGGTCATTATCTATGTCAAGGTCTATTTTAATGGGCAAACTAGTTTCTAATAGAATAACTAATCGGATTTGTGATACTTTTCCCGACAAGAGGGAAATTACACTCTCTAAATATAGAAACCTATTTAAATATGTATAAGAAACCACGAGTGGAATGTTACTCTAACAGCTGACCAAAATGATACCTGATCTGAGCATGAATTTGGAAATAAATATTAAAAAGTAATAACAAATTTGTACTTTTTTAGATAGGAATTCTAGGATTTGCTTCAGCGGTGCGCCACATCCACTCTAACGAGCTAACTATACAGCTCTAGTCGGCGCCGTCGCAGTTCTAAAATATTGTTTTTTAAAATTGGTCAATAAAGTTAGTATTAATTCTTGTTAAAAAGTTCATTATCTGAGTAACGGGTATATAATAGTCAAGACACTCGACTATAGTGATCTCTCTTGGCACATTTTACATACATACATTTTACTGCGAAGTTAGAAAGAGCGCCAATCGGCTAAATGTGGAAACTATTGAAACTCCACCGCCAGATGTCGCTAAAGTCAGGAATTTTATAATTCTCAACTGCTTTTTCCGCAAAGAGTTCGTATATATAAGGCCATTTTCAAAAGTAACTCGTTCTTGCTTCGGCAGAACATATACTAAAATTGGAACGATACAGAGAAGATTAGCATGGCCCCTGCGCAAGGATGACACGCAAAATCGTGAAGCGTTCCACATTTTTTTGCCAACCTGAAGGCAAATAATAAACTGAAATCGATTTCTTTTTCTGCTTTCGCCATTATTTATTATATTTCATCAATATGTATTCAATTTGGTATGTATTTTGTAATTGTAATATATAGACAATTGTTTTCCTTTGACGTGCATACATCTGACGTGTGTTTATTTAGACATAATAGTTATGTTTTCACGTTTCTTCAATTTTTGCTTAATGCATACAAAATTTTTAATTTTCAACACAGTTGTTTTGTTTTTTCATTGTTTATTCATATTCTGGTTTTATTTCAATTGATCCATTTTGGACATTTCAAATAGTTTTGAATTTTTTTGTAATGTTTGGTTCTGGTAATGCAGAGGACTTCAGAATTTCGTTGTTTGATCTCCGCAGCTTCATCAAGCCCTTCAACTATTGGACTTGGTGAACTATCTAATTTTTATTTTTTTTGTCGTATCATACCTAATTTTAAAGATTTTGAAAATACATAATTATGCACTGTTATTAATATAGATATTTATATGCTTTAAATGGACACATGAATCAGGCTCTTGGTTTTTATATATTTTTATAAATTATATTTACTTTTCAAATTGTAATTTTTCTGCTTCTCTATCGAATATGAAACTTGAACTTCTTTTCCAACGTGTTTTGAGGTAGTTTGCTTAGTTTCGTTATGTATATAAAAGTTGTTTTCTCTGAAGCACATTTATATAAAGCACACACATTTACAATATCCGTAACATTTAGGCATACATTTTTTGTTTTAAATATATATTTAATATGTTAATTATACAATATTAAACACTGAGGAACTGTCGTGCTTATTTCAATGCTGCTTCGCTTTGAATTCTGTTTGCTTTACTCTGTACTTTCTACACAAAGCCAACCTAAAACCTTAGCAACCTGACTTAATTATGATATATGCATAGACCATGCATATTCTGTATTTTTGCTTGCGCTTGTACTTTGTGTGAGTGTATATATGGGGTTTCCGCTTGCCCGATGTTTTTCTAAAAGTCTAAATTGTAATTTTGAATTCTTATCACTTATGTAATGAGGTTAAGCTCCCAAGACATGAATTTGAAAACCCTAAAACTGATGGCCAATTTTGTGTGTTGAATTATAATTTATGTGCGCTCAATCGGTTTTTATTATATTTGTTTAAGCCTAGATTAACAACTACAATTTGTTATGTCCACGTGTTCATCGCTGTGGGTGATACGAGTACCTAAGTTCTAAGTTTTTAACTTGAATCACTTTTATAATTTGTATTTTCGTTCTCATTCTCGATCTGTTTCTGTTTCCCTCAGTTAGAATGTAGTTTTTCTTTCGAAAGTTAATTCTTTTGATATCAATTGAACACAACACGTTAAGCAACAAATAGCAGTAAGGAAGGCTACAAATAGTAATAGTAATTGGAAAAAATAACCCAAAAGAGAAGGAGCCCGCCCCAAAGAACTACACAACAAAGAAAATTTGAATACAAATATCACAAAATTAGCATCGAAGCAGAGCAAAAATATTCATTTCGATAATGCAAATTAGAATAAAACTCAAAGTTGAATTACTTTTTGTTTGGTGTTTTTCTTATATTTTTTTTTTTGGAGTAGCCCGCAAGTGAAAAGTAAATCTGAAGCCTTGAAAATGTTTTCATGTGTGCCTAAAATTAATAAATTATAATTTATATTGAAGGTATTTCATAAGCAAATCGTATGGATAATAGAAAAACTTAAAATTAATTTTTTGTCAGTAATAGAGTTTAGACATATTGAATCCTACATTTAACATCAAGAAATAAAAGCATAAAAGAAAAATTAAAATTATATCACCACGCATGTATGTATAGATAGTTATAGCATTTAAGTAAATTAATCAAGTTTCGCAAAACATTCTTTTTTGGAAACAATCAAACTTTCTTTAACAAAATGAAAAACTTAAAAACGACAACCTAGGACCATAAAATATATATTGGATGAGGGCCAAAACAACTAGGATTACCGATAAATGTAATATGTAGGTATATATGTTCTAAATAAAAGCTCTCTCTCCACATTGAGTTAAATGTAAAAACTTATGGCTAAAACATTGAACCAAATTATACAGCGTTAATATAGCATTTAAAACTTAAACAGATAAATCGCAGTTGTATATAACTTATTTTAAAATGATTTTTAGCATTCCAGATAATTTCTTTTCCAATCGAATCAAATGAATTCAAACCCTTATTCGTTAAGCAGGTAAAACTGGTAGCAAAGTCCTACAAAATTCACTTGCTCATCTCTAACACTCCGTCGTTTCTTAACAATCTTAACAGCTAAACAAAATTTTGTATTTTTACACATTTTCTTTTCAGTTTTGTTTTGTGGTTGCCTCTTTCTTTACGTTTTTTGTTTTGTTTCTTTCGATTTGTTAATGTTGCATTTTCAAAAGGAATTTCGTTTTTCTTTTCTTACGTTTGTTTGGCTCTGGCTTTCCGGTTTCGGTGTGGTCGCGAAAAAGTAAAAAATATTCTCTTCTATTTTCTGCCATAGAAAACATACAAAGCCCAGGCTCTTTAAATCACAGTTATATCTCGGTTATCAATATTATATCACTCATGCAGAACAATGTAACAGATCGTTGTGTCTTAAGGAGGGATGGAGGTTCAGCAAGGATTTTCTCGAGTAATTCCGATGTCAAGAAAATGTTTTCCCTATTCAGAGCGATTCCAATTTAAATCCAATTGTAATCCTGTCGTAGAATGGGTTTCAGTTGTTGGTGGCTGGTTGGTGCTGTTCTTGGGTCTCCTATGTGGCTCTAAACTTGTTAAAACTAATCTTGATGGGCGGTTCGTTAGCTTTAGATATTCTGTATTTGGTCTACGACGATTTACGCAGCTCCTCGAGGCCTCCGTTCGGCATGCCGCCGCGCATATTTTCCAGAACCTTGTTCACGAAATCCGTTGAACCGCCTGCGATGCGGATTCCAGCTGCAAAAGTAAAGAAAATTACAATTATTTCGGTTCAAGATGGATGGACTAATTTCACTTACAAGAGGCGGTGGCGTAAATGCGTGCAATTTGTTGATCAACCTCCTCGGTTGATTCGCCCACATTCTTGGTGCGATGCTTCACGACCAAGGCCTGCTTTAATTCGGCTATGCCATTGATGAGGCGCTCTGGAGAACGAAAAATATTGGATTAGCATATGTTTTTCTGTTATTTAAAGAAAACATTTAGGCATATCGACTTACTGTGTTCAATTTCAAGGCCGAAAAGCTTTATTTTGTTGGCCTCATGCTGGGCCTTCTTCTTCAGGCGACAGGCACGTGAGGCCAGCTTGTTCTTCTCCTTGCGCGACTTTGGGCGCACATTGAAGGGCAGCTCGGAAACTGGCGTCATGTCGTTGATGGTGCGGCTCAGCTTGTCCAATTCCTTGCCAATATTATGCAGCTTTCTGGCATTGGGAGTCAGGTCGTTGCCATCGCCCTTGCGGGCCTTTCCACTGTGCTGTAAGAGAAAAATATAAAGTGTTAGATATATAAATTTTTCAATTTTAAATCATTATATTTACCTTGTACACCTTGATGCCACGCACGGAGCAAGTGGGACTGAAGACGGGGTCCGTCACCTCGTTCAGCACATGCGGATCCTCGAGCTTCGATTGGAAGACCAGCCTCTTGCCCTTGGGCCCCTTGGCCTGGACATTGTACTGCCAGAAGAACCGCTCTTTGCCCTTGCTGGACAAATGATTCGGTGTCGAGGTGCGCGTCTCATCCTCATCCCCAGATAGACCATTATCGCTGCTGAAATCGTCGTAGTTGTCACTGTTCTCGCTCGAATTGTCATCCTCGTCGTCCTGCGAAAAGTCAATGCCATCCGGGGACAAAACACTGCCCGTGCTCAGCGAGGAGAAGCTCTCGGCCTCGGCCAGCGAGCCGGTTGAGAGTAAATGCTGTCGTGGCTCTCGCCGCATCCAGATGTGCTCCAGTCCCAGGTGCGTGGGGGCCGACGAGCTGAGGCGACTCAGCTGGGAGTTCTCCACGGCACTCTGGTAGCCAAAGGACTTGCGCACGGCTGATCCGGGTGTCTGGTTACTGGTGGTTGTACTGTTTCCGGACACCGAGCTGCCAAATCCACTGCTACCGCCCGGACTCAACGCAGCAGACTGGCTGAGGATCGAGCGCTCCGGCGGCGAGGACATGGGAAAGCCCTTCTTGATCAGTTCCTGCATGTTGCGCGACTTTACCATCTGGTACTGAGGTCGATTGGCGTGCGGTGGTGGCGGTGGGGTCAGTGGCGACTGAGAAGCCTGGCTGCCCGGCGAGAAGCTGGCGGACAGCTGCTGTTGCTGCGGCTTCTGGGGAGTGCTGTGGTAGATCTCATACGGACTAGTGGAGGAACTGTTCGAGTGTTGCTGTTGTTGGGTTAGCGTGAGCAGCGTTTGCAGTTGTGGCAGACTGCCAACCTGCAGTTGCTGCTGATTTTGTTGCTGCTGCTGCTGCTGCAAAAGTTCCATGGGCGGCGCCACCAGGGCATCCTGTCCTTGGGTCTGCGGCGACAGCAGGAAGTTGACACTTTGAGAGACTGTGGTCTGCGGCAAGAAATCCTCAATGTTTCCAATGACATCCAGGAAGTCGCCACCATTTAGATCGGAAAGATCGGCCGCCTGGATCTCGGCCTTGTCGTTGGGAAAGATGTAGTCATCGTCCAGGCTGAATGGCTCGTGTTTGGTATGGATAATGGCACTGCTGATATCACTCCACATGGCATTCGAGTTGGGTGTCATCTCGTAGAGCAACTCATTCTGGGCAACAGCCTCCTGGAGCAACACCTGCTCGCTGACTACATTTAGGCTGAGGCTGTGCGACATATCTGGTGGAAAGTAGCCACCATTGCTGCTACCTGCTCCTCCTCCACTGGTGTTGCCGTTGTAGAGGGTGGAGTTCAGCGGAGAGGCTGCACTCAGGCTGACATCCTGCAGCAGAGTGGGTGAAAGGGAAGCGGCATCCAGTGCATCCAGACCAAAGTCCGAGAGCTCCCCCAATGCCAAATGCGATTGTTGCAGCTGGTCCTGTTGTTGCTGCTGCTGCTGTTGGTTGTGGTGTTGCTGCTGCTGTTGCTGCTGCTGCTGCTGAAGGTGGTGTTGCTGGTGGGTCATGCTGGGCAATGTGTGTATGGGACTGGGATGATGTCGCGGTGTTTGCAAATCCGACTGCTGGTACGGATGATGATGATTCTGGTTGTGGTTGCTGCTGCGTGGTATTGTTATGGCCGTTGTACTTAGCATTACATTACAGGTATTTGTGGTGCTGGTGGAGCAGTTGCTGCTACTGCTGCTGCTGTGACTACTGCTGTTGTTATTGTTATTATTGTTGCTGCTGCTGCTGCTGCTGTGACCATAGCCCGTGTTAATGGTCAGCGTGGGCAGGGCCGCACCCACAACGGTGGAGCCCAGCGAATACAGATCGTATTTGAGTGTGTTGTTGCTGCTGTTCGAGCCGGTGTCAAAGAATTCCGATGACATGGGATACAGCTGATTCTCTGTCATTGTATCTCGCGGGTAATCCCGCTCTGCTCTGTGATTATAGCTACTTCTCCCTCTCCTTCTCTAGATGGGCGCACAGGCCCGATGTTGTCTTGCAGTAGTATCTGGAAGTAGGTAAATAAAAAAAACAAGAATCAGACCAGTTGCAGTGCAAAACAGAGACGGAGCTCATTAAACGAATATATTATGACTTTAATAATGGCCAGACAACCTTGGCGGCAGCCAGCATTCTCAATTCCAATCTCATTGACTAGTTATGGCAATCTATTGAGACATTTTACGTTCAGCCCAATTCCGATAGTAGTGGCATTTATGCTAAGTACTCTTGCAGCTGTTATCTAGCCGGAACCAATGCTTTAACCCGAGCTAAAACCAAGGCAAGACTATAATTGATGGTCTCACGTGTTCATAAGTTGCCGGCCCCAACACGTGATTGGGTAGATAAAAATATCTACATAAATTATCACGGGGAATGGTAATTGTATTTACCCGCAGGGCTAGTTATGTTTAGTTAGTTAGTTTTCTTGGAAACTGTAACTTTCCCTATTCAATATCTCATTCTATTCATTCGCCTAATCTCCCTTGCTTATAAACTATCAAAACAACTTGCTGTACGACTGAAAACCTTACAGATAAACGCAATCTGAAGAATTTGCAAATCCAAGAGCCAACTCAACACTATTCAAAGTTTGTTATTGTTATGGTTATCGCCTATTTTAAGGCTAGCCGAAAGGTAGAAGAAACAACAATGATAGGCCCCCTCTTTGTACCTCCTCTCGCCTACATTTTTTTACTGATTTGGCAAACAACAAAATTTTGAAAGCAAAAAGAAATCACCAACACTTTTGTTTTGCTCTTCAAAACAAGAAATGGAACTGGCAAGAAAAGAAAAAATAGCAAAACAATAATGGATCGAAATGGCAAAACTTTGTGCAAAATTAGTAAGCCATTTTCGGGTTTGATTCGATTCTTTCAACCTATACCACTTCTCGATCAGGTGAAAGGCCTCAGGGGGCGGAACCTGCTATTGTTGTTTTCCATTTTGTGGCTCGATAATAAATATTAATTAGTTTGTTTACAAATGAAATACAACATTCTCGTTTTCCATTTAATGTTCATAAATCAGGAACGAAAAGTGCATCTAGTATAAGGGATTTGGCACAATTTGCGCCGTTCATTATGGAAAATTCGAGGAAATGGCCTTGAGGAGGTACATTTGAATTAAAGGTGGGCCGGAAAAGTTTTGACCATTTTTATTGAGCGTATTCCGCACATTATTTAATAGTATATCGACCCACAACGAACTCTATTTTGATCCCTCTGATTGGCTTATCTTTCATCCATTACAGCCGATAAGTGACACATTCCAGATGATAAGGTCCCCCGTTTTACATTAGCCAATGTGGTAGATTCGATTTGAACTTTGTAATGCCCGGTCCCAAGACGTGAAGGTCACACGATGTGTACTGTAGAAACCAACAGTTTTATACAGATGGTAAAGGGGGCGGGATGTGGAGTGGGAAGCCACTCGATATACAAGGCAAACACAGACTCAAGCCCAGACCAAATTCTACTTTTGCTAAGTGATATGCTTGTATCTCTGGTTTCTTTACATTATTGCTGTTTCCTCTTGAAATTGTTTAATATTCGTCAAAGGTAGCTGAACGCGTTGAAGGCCAAACAATAAAAAACAACAACCGAGAACCGACCAAACCAAACCGAACCAAACACCAAAACATAGGAACCGAAACCCGAATGGGGCGCTTATATGTATATTATATACTATATACTCGCCAAACCGAGTATCAAACATGAAAATAGACGCGAAGGGGCAAATAAAAAAGAATTTATTACAGATTGGCTGCCGAAAAAAAACCAGAAAGAGCCCCAAGTGGAATCGCACGAAAAAGTGAAGAGGACGAGCAAACACAATAAAAGATAAACAGAAATTTCTATATAATGAATAATACTATTAAAAAATTCCCCACGCACACAGATACCGCGAGTTAATGAACGCAAAATGTTTGGTGGGGAGAAACGCCAGTGAAAAGGGGGCAGCCGACGAACATCTGATCCAAAGCATCTGATATCGTAGGCAGAAGACCGAGTGATCGGAGCAAAGTAAATACGAATAAGTACTACAATTTACAACAAAGTGTATCTTTTCTTGCGTTGATTTCTGAAAGAAACTTTAAAATTTTTTTTTTTTGTTTTAGTCACAAAGATTAGTTTTAATTGGATAGAACAGACAATGAACATATACCACCTTTTTTTAAAAGAACTGGATCTTAAGTTTGTCTATTTGATATAAAAATACCTTTTTTAATAGTTCTTACTGGTTATTATTAGGGAGTTTGTACTGTATCTGTACAGCCAAAGTAAACTAATTAAAACCGAGTGGGATGCACGTGAAGAGCATTTGGAAGGCAATTCTAGTAGGGGGTAAAGTACAAATCTCCAGTACCAGGCGTGACCAATATGCACGTTATGTGACTAATTCCGGATAACGAAAGCGAAATGAAAATAAAAAGAAATCCAAATTAAAATAAAATTCAGCGGTATTAGAAACACATGCACGGGTCGGTCGCTTCGTCGTTCCGGCTTATTTCAACACACGATGAAATAATGCAACAATGATAACAATTATTAAGGAAAGCTAACTAAAAAAAATATATATAAAATAAACTGTTAGCGTGGCTGCTATCAACAAATTAAGTGGAAGAGAGCCGCGCCAAAGAGAGAAAGCAACGAGAGAGCACACGAATTTTAAGCCAACCCAAGGTCAAAACTGTTTATTTTTTATATTTTGTTTTGAATGTATAATTTATCGCAGAGTTGCCTTTGTTTTCCACTCACCCATACAGGGAAATAAGCTGTAGAGTTGTAAACAAAACGCGACGCTTGTAAATAAAAAATAAAGCTTTGGCGAGAGCGTGGGCGCTTTTTATACTCTCTTTTACTCTGGATCTGAGCAACATATGTTTTCCGTCTATTTGCTTTTGTCGCCATCTTCGTAGACTTTACTTATTTATATAGGCGTGTGTGTATGTAGTGTTTGTGTTGGGTATATAATATAATATTAAGCTTTTTGTAGCTTTGCTTGACTGACGAGTTTTGTCTGTTGTCGTTTTTGTTGTTGCTGGCTTACAATAACAAAATGGAAGCTTTTACATTTCGCCAGAATTTATACTAGAAATCTATACGCCAGTGTGAGTGGGGGATTTCATGTGCTTGTTGATTGCGCTATATACATACATACATACATGCATATACATATGAAAGTGTAGAGCGTTCTTAGGGCATATTTGCACGATTGGGGAACACAAGTCCAAGAAAGACAGATGAGGAAATGGAATTCTTGCGAAAGGAAGGATCATGTCTGCAAATATCTTGAGATCTTATAAAAATTACTCATACGCCACGTTTAACAAAATGTGTCAATTTACGTATGAGTAATAAAATGTTTTATTGGTTCCAAATCATTTAAATATTTTTATATGAAAGGATTTCTTATAACAGATGCAATTTTGCTATTATTTTCTATTTGCTTAAAAATTAAATCGTGTTTTAATTTAAGTTCAGTGATTAAATTCTTGATAGAGAATCTACAAATATTTATTTTCCCACTTTCTATTTTACTTATATTTGCAATTATATCTATATTGAGATTATTTTAGAACAGGCGAGCTCGACACGTTTGCATTATCAATACTTCATAGTGGGAGACGTATTACTTAGTTTAAAACGCGGTCTAGCTCTCATAACAAAAGCAATAATTTAAAATTAAAATAAAAACAAAGGCAAAAAAGAGTAAGAGCCGCTGATCGGGAGCAACTTCCGTTCCGCATTATCAATGGGTCAGTGGCAGTGGTCAATCATTGATGAGGGGTGTTGGGGGCTAGGTGCTCTATAATTTCCATCAGCCCCCTTTCCCACTTTTCGTTCTCGGCTTTGTTTTCGTCAACATTCGTCATCAACCGTCACATGTTCGGACTGCATGCAGTTTTTTCCCACTCGGCCCCTCTCTTTCACTTTGATTTTCCATTTCTTTCTGGCAAAAGTCTTCTTTCACAGTGGCGTACTGAAAAGGGGTTTATAAGACCTCTTTAGAAGTAGTCCCAAAAAACTGAACAAATACAAATACTGACGGGATTTTTAGTTTCAAACTTCATACTGAGGACAGAGGTTGATGAAAATACAATTTCTAATCTTAATTACCTTGCAACAACGAAACCCCTTGTGAAAATCTTAAATACGCTGCTTCTATAGCCATTTCTTTGTTTTGCAATTTGTGCAAGTCACTTTTACCTTTGTCTCTGTGTTATGGCTCACACTTTGCTCTAATTTTAGGAACACGCAATTTTTGCATGCACCCACACTCATAAGGAAGAGCACCCATACCACAACGAAAACACCCACACACTGATAAACAAATTTATGTTGAGGTAGCCACAGAGCCAAGTGCAAGTTCCTTCGACTTATTTATAGTGCCCCCGTTTAGAAGGGGGCTCACAAAAATAAATAGGAAGGTACACAGAAAAAAAATGGTAATGATTTTTACATTCAAATTTCTAAATGGTTTAAATTGAAAGTGTCACCGAGAATCAACTGTATTTTAAATGGGTAACCTTAGTATTTTTATACCCTTGTAGAGGGTATTATAATTTCAGTCAGATGTTTGCAACGCAGTGAAGGAGACGTTTCCGACCACATAAAGTATATATATTCTTGATCAGCACCAATAGCCGAGTCTATCTAGCCATGTCTGTCTGTCCGTCTGTCCGTCTGTCCGTCTGTCCGTTTCTATGCGAACTAGTCTCTCAGTTTTAAAGCTATCGCGATGAAACTTTCCCGAAGGTCTTCTTTCTATTGCAGGTAGTACATATGTCGGAGCCAGCCGGATCGGACCACTATATCTTAAGGCTCCCAAACAAATATAAGAAAATTCATTGTAACTTTGTAGGAAGTAGGCGTTTTGATTCTTGACTACTTAAAAACAAAATTGAAATAAATCGAAACGCTGAATCTGGAATCCCTGGAACTGCACCGAGTAAGTATTCTTTTATCTACAAGGGTATATAAGCTTCGGCTGGCCGAAGGTAGCTTCCTTTCTTGTTTTATATTGAATTTTAAACTTATATAGCATTTTTTTCAGTGTTCAAAATGTTAGCATGCTAGGTATTAGCTATTCGATTCTACCGTTTATTTAGTATTCATATGCCGGAATGTTTAGCATAGCATAGCGAATGTCTGGCAATTGATGATATAACACGCTCTGTCGCGTTCGGTTTTTGTTTTGCTTTTTGTTTTATACTTTATACTTCTTATACAAACAGCTGACGCAAATTGTAAATTGTTGTATTGATTGAAAGAGGAAGAGCGGGGCAAGGCATCGATCAGCGAACTCAGGGAAGTGAATATATATAGTCGTTGGAGGTGAGAGATCTAGGTTAGTATATAAGAATCGTATCAATTTGCATTTAAAACTAAATTTCCATAGTTTAGCTAAGACTTTGAGAATCGCATAGAAAGGTTGAAAAATGCTTGAACCTCCATGAACTTTGAAGCCCAAGGAAGATCGGAATTCGCTTTTCAGCAATTTGCTACAGAAAATGTCTTCAAAGTGCCTTAGCGTACACTTTGAGAATCGCACAGAAAGGCTCAATGGGCGGTGTGGTATATAATGCACATTTCTTGTTCCTTTTTTGTTTTACTTGTTGATTTAAAAATATGATTATTGATTTGGCACTTTTAAGTAATCAATACAATACTTTCGCAATGGAAATTCCAAAAATGCCTCTACTCCCCCAAGCCCGATCGTCAGACGCCCACAAACCCCTGCGAAGCGAACCAATCGAACACAGTATAACATGTTTGCTTCCCCACCGATTCGCTAATAGATAAATAATTAAAATCAATTTATATCGATTTAGCAGCACAAAAAGAAATTAGCACAAGTCTGAATACTTAAACAAACAGAAGATGCTACTGCCACTCTTGCTGAATAGAAATCAATAGGAATCGTGACTGAGTCTGTAGCTTTCAAGTCCGATAAGTCTGTAGACGACTAGACAAATAGCGATGCATTTCAAAGGGTTCGAATAATCGCGCCTGGTGGCGTTGACTCAATTCGGGGAGGAGACAGGAACACGTGAGCCGACGGAGCGATTCGGTTCCCGCGCCTCCTTATCGAGTGACCAGAGAGCAGACCCTCCAGAGGCGTCTGGCCCGTCAGCTGTCCCCCATTTGACTCCGCCTCTTATCAGCCAAAAGCCGCGTGCCGTCAGAGACGACAATGAGCCACTGATAAGGCTATACGCTCAATGGGTCAGGCACTTGCAAATTTAGAGCTGTCCCCTAACTTTTTTAGGGGTGGCATGGATGGCGAATCTTATCTTATCGAGCAGCCGCAAATGAGGAGATAAACCAACACAAAAGATGGCAAACGTATGTTTTTGTTCTGCGACCAAATGAAAACAAATTTCGTTTCAGGAAGCTAACGCCCCCGCATGGCATATTTTTGTGCTACCCAAATAGAATCGTCCCTTTCACAAACTGACCCAAAAAAATAGGGTGTGTTTATAAGCACTGAGTAAAATTAAACACTTATGAATCACGGGCACTTAAAAAATCAGGAGACAGCGACAACAACAATTGATATAAATTTGTATATCTGTGCTTTAATATTTTTGCTAAAGAAATTTCAAAGAAAAGCAAACAAGTTTGCTTAATGGACGGCATCCGCGGAACAGCCTCTGGAAAGATCACAAAAATCTCCTCCCAGCGGCAACAAAGAAAGTTGAAGGCCGGCAAAAGCAAATGACCGTATATAGAGTATATAGTCGGCATTTTGAACAAATAATAATATGTAAAAATCTGTTTCAAACAAATTGATTGGAATATAAACAAATAAATAAAATTGAATACAAAGTTTAGCTCGTTTAATGGGAAATCAAGATCATGATGCAATATCACCAGTTTGATAGATCATCCACTATACCTATTAGCATTTACTTAATGTAAGAGCAAGCCAATATTCTGCTTTTTCGACAACATGTAAATTAATTATGACATCTACAATGAGTAAATAATTAAATTATATACATATTTATGCTAAGTGATTAGAACCAGTTATGATAAACACATTAACTGACAGTTAGCTTTGTGATTCTATAAGGCTATTGATAGTATTAAAGGGGAATTTTAGAAAAAAAGTATAACTAAATATCGGAAAAAATGAAGATTAGCTTTTAAATTACTAAAAAATTTAATGGAAAAAGTTATAATTACTTTTATTGCTTATTTTTTTAAAGTACAATGATGACCTTTACCGAAGGCTTTCATTAAATTCGATTGTATATAAGTATACGGAATATCAGCATTCTAATCACTCACACAATCACTCAGCTCTGCCCTAATTTTTATTTTTAGGTTTTTTTGTTATTTTCCAGCGAATAGGTATTTCCTACTTTATGACTCTTATCGATACCGTAACTCTTGAGTCAGGGCAAGTATTATAACCATCGACAAAGTTAAGATGGCACAAACTGAAAGTTCAGCATCCAATTAACTGATGTAGCAGCTGGACGCATGGCGTATACGTAATGTTGTGGCGCCCAGAAAACTTAAAAACTGGCTCCAAGTTGAGATAAGGGGTAAGTGGATTGCTTTTGGTTTCTTTTCTGCTGTTTTTCCACTGAAGTTTACCCAACATATGGCTGCCGTTTAGGCTCAACTATTTCGTCGCTTCTCACGTGTTGAAGCTTTTGGATTTGTTTTATTTTATTTCTTCTATGAAGCCAACAGTTTTCAACCTTGAATTTTCGCACTGACACTGAACTCAAACCCAACGAACAAAATTCAAATTGAAATCAATTTCAATTTAATTTTTTGTTGCCATACACAGCAAGTTTTTGTTGATTTCCTTTTGTTTCATTTGAAAGTGTCTGTGTGTTTGCCTTTGATTATTTGCACAAATGGGGAAAAAATAGCCAGTAAACCTCTCGAAAAGAAAAAAACGATGCCTGACAAGATTCATATTTGTATCCCACAACATTTTCTGGCCCCTTGGGGACTCGGACTCGGTTGATTCCCAAAAGATTCTGTTGACGCGACAGGAAATGCTTAACTTGAGCCGCTATCAAGCCGCCTATACAGTGTGCTCGATACATAAATAAAACTCGAAATGTTTATAGGTTTATGTGCTATGCTTTGCTCATTTTTGTTGTTTTGTTTGTCTTGGTTTTGGTTTGGTTTAGTTTTTTTCGTATTTGTGGGTCTCACATTTCAAAGGGCAGGCTAGATTTGGATTTTTAAGTTTTCGGTTTCTGTATTAGGGGGAATGAGTGTGTGTTGACGCAGCCCCTTTTCGGTCTTGGGTTAATTTTTTAATTGGTCTGCGATCATAAATTACCAGTATGTCGGCTTAGGAAAGTGGAGAGAACGCAGATATGAGGGCTACTTACAAATTGTAATTCCAGCATAAGAAAGTTGTGAACTTTCAAGATTTGTGTCGGATACTTTTAATGATCCTAAAAATATTTTTTTAGGAATTTACGTCTGTGGGATCAAACATGATCATAAATCATTTTTCATTTTTCATCATTTTAGATGAGAATACACTGTCATCTTTGCAATTCAGTTAAGATTTTTTAAAGATTTGTATATTTCTTTAACACAATTCCCCACCTTATTCAGGTTAGCATTTCTCTTTATCCTATTTTTATCACCATTTTATATGATTCTCAAAGAAATCGCTTCTATAGGGCAGCAAGCTTATTTTGATAGCCCATCATTTTTAATGTTTGGCTTAAACTTTTTCATTTTGTATTTCCTTGTGGATTATGGAGGTCACATTAAAAATCTTTAAACATTTTTTACATTTATGTATATTTTTACCCACCTTATCTGCTGCTTTCCTTTCTACACCTCGTTGCGTATAAACAAGCCAGAAAATGATGCTGTGTTGATTTGTTGTAAAAGCGTTTTTATATTACTTCCTCGAAAATTTTCAATTAAATGCACACAGATTAAACATTTCCCTCTCGCGGTGTTTACAAATTAATTGAAATTGTATTTTTGGTTAATTTTTCCTCATCCTCGTTTTCGTTATTAATTATTATGCATGGTGAGGTCCACGTTTATATGTACATTTCATTGTTATTTTATGCGTGAGTGTGAGTTGTTTTTTTAACTAGGTCACACATGTGGCGATTAAGACGAAAATTTATTTATAATGAAGCACATTTGTAGTATATCTCATCCAAAGCGCACATACACCAAACTAAACACTCAGTTTATATGAATTTTGATAAGGGGAGAAATCTTATCAGTGGCGACAAAGTCGTTTTTAATTTATTATTTGAATTATTCCGTACGGCGGGTTGGCACTCAATAAGTTTTCTGAAACTTTTTTTAAATTAATGGCAAAAATTTACAACAAATTGTGATTAGCTTTGTTTGCTTTTTCTGCCTTTAAGTCATTCGCGGTTTGTTGTCAATTTTGCGGTTTATTTCCCAAGTTTCAACCGAGCAGCTGAGCGGTAAGCGAACAACTGATCGATGGAAGAGAGCCAACCGAAGAGCGGAGCCCAAACTTGGGGGCTTTTGGCGCTCTCTGGGGTTTTTGTGGAGTGTGGGGTTCTAATAAGAATTTGTATACATATGTACGCTATATGTATTATTCGGTAGACAAATTCCAACGCATTCGTCAAGTTTGGCAGCGTTTATGTTTGTTGGTTTATTTATTTATGCAAATGGGCATAGTTTTTCGTTGCCTCGGAAACTAGTTCGTTAAATGCGGTTATTTCAAATAACTTGTTTTTATAGGTGTTCAACAAAATTATGACAGTCTGTAATTTTTGTAGCTTTCATATAGATTTAAATTTTTTCGGTACACTCTAATTGTTTTTATTATTCTTTTTATTTTGATTATCACACTTTGTGTGTGTGGTTGTGCTCACCAATACACTGGCTTGCTTCTCTAGAGTCTTTTGCTTTTTGTTGGATTATTTTTGTTGGTCTGCGCTCGTCAAACGTTCTTGACCGATTGATAAAAAGTGTGCAAAGCTCGGCGACAAAGCCAAAAAGCAGAGCGCCAAAAGCTCCCCAATCGCTTTTGTTTTGATTGTTCAGCTGGAAGAGGGGAACACTGAAAAAAATAGTACTCGATATTAAACCTAAAAGGTGTTTTATCGATTGTATATTTTTGGAAACAAGAGAATGATTTGTACGTATCCTTTATCTTCTTTAAAAATGATTTAAAAATTATTAAAATTTATGTAAACAATTGGATTTCTTTCAGTGTGGGGAGAAAAGCTTTTGAGAGAGCGGCGTAAGCGCATGCCCCCACCATCTCTCCCACTCACACTTGTAAGCACTGTCTGTTGCTTCTTTCACTTCCACTTTTCCATTTTGGAGAGAGAGCGGGGGAAGAATGGAAAGAGGGTAGATGGCTCCAAAAGCTCGAGTACAGTCTGTTGTTTTGGTTTTTATTATTCTTCTGCTTTTTGCATTTGATTATTAAATAAATTTATTTACAAAGCTTTGCCGCCACACTCTCTTTCCGCTCTCTTCCTCTATGTTTTGACGTCACTTTTGTTGTTTACTTCTGCTTGTTTTCCCTTTTCTTGCCCATTCCGTTCGCCATTGTTGTTGTTTTCGTTGGGGCTTTTTTTATGCAAATTTTTGTTATGAAATTGTCTGGCGCTTTGATTTTGATTTGATTTTATTTTTCGCCAGTGTAAAAATAAACTTGTTTACAGCAATCGAAAAAATACAAAATACTATAAGTATTTTGCCAATTGTAGAACTAAGTAAAATTGCAAGCAAAAAAAGAAGCAGAATGCGCGCGTTTTTTTCTCGCTGACGTTGCATTTTATTTTTGCACCCGATCTTTATTAGTTTGTTTATAACAAAAACAATCAAGATGGCGCAAACAACCATATCAATTCATGTACTGAATCGCCTATCACTTTGATTTCTGTAGATATCTTTTGACTGTTTGCTCTTTCTTAGATCGGTTCGATTTGTTCCATTTGTTTTAGAACTCCTCGGATATATTCAGCTGATGCAATATGGCCCATTAAAATGTAATACGATACAGAGTCGAGCTTAGCTGGCATTAAAAACGGGGAAAACTGACCCTTCAGCGGATATATTTTACTGCGCTCTTATCTGGTTTCGAGGTTTTTGTTTATATTATATTGAATACCGATCAGTTTTATACTTCTGTTTGTGATAATGGGATACTAGGAATTTATTGATCTATTAAGCACCACTCAAACTCTGCACAACCTTTATTAATGTTTATTTTATTTTTTCAAGGACTTTCCATTTATTTTTGTAACTTTCAAGAACACACAAAAGTTATTCTTAAAATCTCATTACAAAATTTGACCACGATAAAGTAAGGAAGTAAGAGCACTCAATGGAGATACTATGCAACGAGAAGGGTCTTCAAATTCGATTAAATTAAGTTGTACCGACATTTAATGGACAGGCGTGGGATACATTATACTTGTCGGAAAGGAAAATAACCAACTGACGCACGGAGTTTTTTGTTGTTTTGCCAGTAGCTGCTGTGGCAGCAAATCACAACCATGTCCTTGAATATGAAATTGCGACCCAACTTGCAGAGGGGACGCCAAGGATACGTAGGGAGCAACAAGGATAACAGCCCGATCCCACGCTATTTCAAACGCCCAACCACCCACAACAGAAAAAACAGACATTGTTCTATGTTTGTATATACAGCTCCGGTCAAAGCAATAGCATGGAGGAGTCCAGGGGTCCTGTCTTCAAGGTCTACTATGACATTTGCGACTGCTAAGGATAATGCAACAGTTAGCTGTAACAATCTTTTAATGCTTATTTATAAATATTTCTTTTTTTAACATGACATAAAACTATTGTGACTTAAGTATGGTGGATAGTTAAGCTTGCAGACTAGTCGAAATGTTAAATATTTAACTCTAAATAATTGAGCAATCACAGAAGTTATATTTGTTTGACCCCCATTGTATGTATTCCTGTTAAGGGAGGCGTGTGAAACGATTTTCAAGGACGTGGGCGCCGGCATTTGAGTATTAACAAAATATATTCCCGATACCCGAAGCCGCCTACGTAACAGAGTTGGATTAGATATATGTATGTATAGATATGTATGTATGTACCTTAGGGATGCGTGGGCGCTACGATTCGGGTTTCATTGGATCGAAGCTCCACACTTTCACTTTCGCTTTCCCTTTGACGAAGTTCAAGGCAGTGCAAAGCTTCGGAGACCTTGAATAACTTTTCTTTTTTCCCTTCTGTGGGCGTTGCCCTTCGTCGTCGATTCCAATGGGCGTTTCCCCACAGCCGACTTATTTATGCATAGGCGCGAATTTTCCGCTCGCCTAGAGTTTTCCTAATTCAGTGCGCACCCCAAGGCATAAATAATACCTAATTAATTAATTAATTTTGGGTCTGCGTATCCCCATTTTAGTGACCATCTGGCAACGCCCGAGGCGAGAGCTTTGCTTTAAGCCTTTCCCTAAGCTTCCTGGTGAAATGCTTTCTCGCCATTCAGTGTTGTTTTTGTTATGAATAAGCAGAAGCACAACAAAATGCCAACCGCAGACTGCCAAGGACATGGCAAAGTGGGCGAAAAGAGAGGATTGCCGAGATGGGAGAGACAGGATTTATCCTTCTGGACTCGATTTCTGCGTCGTAATTTTCCAGCACAGCATGGGGAACACCACCCGGAAAAACCACCCCCTGGATCCATTCTCTTTCCTTTTTTTTTTGTGGGGGCCAGCCGGCGAGTGTGTACACAAAGCTTGTTAGTCTATATACTGATGCAGTCCTTCCAGATCTCCCCCATCCGTCAGAGACGTTGTTGTGACGCGTATCGATTTGTTTATGTTTATCAAATGGAAATTGGCACAAGGGGCGCCAGACGAGGCACCTCGTTTCGAGGGCTAAATAACAATGGCAAATTTCTTCACTCTCTTCTCTTGGCCATCACAATCGTGTGTGGGTTTTTTTTTTGTTTTGGGCACCCCCAGAAATTTTCCAATTTCCTTTTTGTCAGGCGGTGGGCGGTGTTGTGCTTAATTAATAATTCTCACTAATTTGATGGGCTGTTCAAACAAAGGGATTCGAATTTCACAATATTCCGGGAAACCTTTGATAAGGATGGAATCAAATAAATACCCCAGTTTGTGGCGGATTGACAATTATAAGTATAAGCAAATAAACATAAATACCTAAATAAACAGAATGAATTATAAGTGTAATGTTATAAATTTATTTACAATTTCTTTGCCTGTAATAATCCTATTTAACCGGAAATCGTTCCAGTTTGTTAAACGTGATTTCACAAGACTTTCAAGATTTTTTATGAGCTACCTCCCTCAACACGCTTAAATAGAACGCTCGCTCACATGCACTTTGCATGTGATAGAGAAAGCATTTAGCAATTTGCTAGCTTGTATAAACAATTTTTTTCCCATTTTCTTTCATTTTTTTTTTGCTGATTTGCAAGCTTCTCGTTCATTGGCCCCAACAGCAACAACAAACTTTGGAACGAACTGATAAAAAAAAATAATAACAAAAATATATACAAAAATAAGACTGACAACGCTGCTTTCAGCAACTAAGCATTTATTTTGGCGGTATACTAGAGACCCAGACCATTGACTCTATTTTCCCAAAGACCAACTCAAGTCAAGTTCAGGGCCAATCGGTTGCTCTTTACTTATTTATTGTGTTTTCTTGTCTTGTATTCTCATTTTTTTTTGTGGAGAAGCGTGGTTAGGAATTGTCATTATCTAATATAGCACGTCACCGTGATGAAAAATAAAAATATAACTTGGACAAAGCTCAAGTCTAAATATAAAAATTTTGCTAAATTGAAATGTCTAAGGAATTTATGGATTAAAAATATATTTAACATGAAAATGTTGTAAAAAACCATTAAAAATATTATATTTGGTTAAGATTTAGTTTTAAAGGCACTATTTAGCAACAATTCACCCTGCCCATATGCCCATATAATCAGCCCCAGAATCTGAGTATAATTCCGCAAAACTTACCTCACTAATTACTTTTGCAATTGTCCGAAATGTAATTTGCTCAATGCCAACCTGCAAATGGAAACAAAGAACACGAATTTAAATATCAAAGCGAAATATAATTTGCATTTATACGGTGAAAGTACAAAGTGCAAAATGAGTTAAACGGCGACTAATGGGAGAATATTTAGTTTTCTGTATTGATAACTTTTTGTTACTCGGTTCATTGATTGCAGACGACGTCGGCGATAGCTGATATATATATATAACATTTGTATGTGTACATAGGATGAATGCTATATGTTTGACAATGCGGAAGTTGTTGAAATTATAACAAATCCAAAGCGAAACAAAGAGAACTGCAGACAGGCAGATATAAAATTGTTGCACTCTGTCTGTCGAGTGTAAGTATTTGCAGTTTAGCAACAAGGCAGCGAGACATGGATCGTGTCTGTATAATGTATATATACGACATATATGCAGATAAATAAATTGCCGGCTGCTATCTGCCTGGCGCAATTAATGGATAGCACTTTGACTACTGACAAGGTTAAAGGCGACAGATACCGACACAGATTTACTCCGTTTCCACACAGCGACAATAAAGGACTATCTGCACGGGTTTCATTTGAGTATATCATTGTAATAAGGTCATGCTAAGTCAATGGAGAGACTTAGCACTTCCTATTCCGCAATGTTTAGGATATATAATCAAAAATATTTCATTTTTAAAAAGTGATTAAAAACAAAACATAAAATTAGTGTATATATTATAAAACTTTAGATAGATAGATACCTTTACTATGATT